TTAGTGAAACGAAGAAGCCTATTGAATTTCAGCAATTTCCGTTTATTACGTCTAGAGTTATGACCCTTGTTTCCCTTTATTGAACCCTGTGAACGCTCTAACACCTAAAGTTATCATCCGATCATTGTGAAATTTATATGCATGATTTAAATTAGTCAAACAAAGAAGCCTATTTTACTTCAATAATTTATGTTCATTACGTCTAGAGTTATGGCCCTTATTTCACTTTATTGAACCTTGTGAACGCTCTAACACCAAAAGTTATCATCCAATCTTTCTGAAATTTATATGCATTATTTAAATTAGTGCCCATCTGTATGAAATTTGCTTTTTCATTTAAATTAGTAAAGAGAAGAATCCTATTGAATTTCAGCAATTTCCGTTTATTACTTCTAGAGTTATGGCCCTTGTTTCACTTTGATCAACCTTTTTAATGCTTGATTGATGAAAGTTATCATCTGGATATGTATTAAATTCACATGCATCATTTAAATTTGTGAAACAGAGGACTATTGAATTTCAGCAATTTCCGTCAATAATTTCTAGAGTTATGGCGGTTGTGAACCTTGTGAACGTTTGAATGACAAAAGTGATCATCTGATCTGTATGAAATTTATATGCATTATTTAAAATAGTAAAACGAAAAAAACTGCCAAATTTCAACAATTTCTGTAGATTACTTCCAGAGTTGAGACCCTTGTTTCAGTTTGTAGAACCTTGTGAACCCTCAAACAGCAAAAATTATAATCTGATCTGTATGAAACTATCTATATGAAATTGTATTGTAAATGCCCCCAATTACCTACAAAGGAATAAATATGCGACAACCCTTGTCGACCACTTGGGCGATTTAGCTGCTGTGGGCGTATGTTTCGTTGCCTGGCAATCTATCTTTGTTGACTATGGGAGTCGATCTGGAGAGTTTTCGATTGTTTTTACAATCAGTTTATATGGATTCCATGCCTCGCATATATACAGGTAGAAATCTGAATCACAAGATACACCTCTGAACATTACATGCCTACAAATTAAAAGATTACTCTAATCAAACTGACTGAATAACGCTTTCGCATCATCTATCAGGGTGGAAATGAAACAAAATTTAACGTCCTATAGTCTACTATTCTGCACCGACGGGGATAACGAAGACTGGCATAAGCCATGTAGTGTTTCGTGAGGGGGTTATTTCCTTATTTCAACTTTGGCAAACTAAAAATCAAATATTAGCCTACATAGTAGTCTTTGTCTCTCTTACAGTGACCTAAATGGGCATAAATTTGTAAGGCATATTTCGGACAGCCCTGAGTGTGATTGCAATCTTTTCTTCGAAGATACCGATCATTTTCTTTTACATTGCTCCTTACATTCTGATGTAATCAAAATATATATAAATCTTTTACCACCCAATTTTATCAACACACATAATCTGTTATACGGTGTAAAGTGTAAGCAACCGTCATACTTCGTTAACCATCTTCTTTGATTGGAATTTAGTAATTGAACATTAACACAAGGTACAATTTTATGGATACACAATTACTGAGTTTAATACTAAGCGACGTTTCGACGACGATACTCTCGTTTTTTAAATAAATAAATAAAAAAACCTAAATTTAAAGATACATTATGGGAGATAAGATAAAGAGCTGGCAGTTCTCACTATAATAATTAAAAATTAGATAATGTAAAGGCAATTTGCTGAAAATTTCAATCAAACTGATCCACTATGAACCGTGAATTAAGCGATTGAAATTTCGGCCTAGCCTCGATCATCATTACTAAAGTCTGTACGATAAAAAACATAGTCTTGATCGTCCATTTCATGATTAAATTAAGAATGGAACTCGAGCACCAAATGGGATCATAATCCAGTAAATATCTCAGGCTAGCAATGCCATTGAGAGTTGATTATGGTCTGGATGAGTTAATTAATGTCTAATTAATAATTTAGATAGCATTTCAAGCCTAAAGAAAGACCTGCAATTGGCAGATTTAGGTCTTGCATAATGTATGTTTAATTAACCATATAAATTAACAGATGGATAAAGGTTTTTTTGTCTATTATCGGATAATCTTAAAGGGCAATATTGGTGTCAATCATTATCACATAATATGTGATAGAACTGGTTAAACCCGTTCCAAATATAATTTTATCACAGAGATACTATAGATGAATAATGAAGGTTTCAACAAACGGAAGTGACGAACGCAAAAGGAAAACACGAGTTATCCTTCTATATAACTGACTGAAGTGACGAGTGATAACAGATATACGGGCGTATTTCTCCTCACTAATAATTTCTTCGAAGGCAAAAAGTTGTTGTGTCAGACTGTGAGAGAATATCTGACAATTCAAATAAGAAACCGACTGTCACTAAATAAGAGAACAGGAAAGAAAACTAGAAAAAGTCTGTGCATTTCCTTGTTTTTATTAAGTATAGAATGAATAAAAACAAGGGAATGTACGGACTATTTCTATTTTTCTCCTGTTCTCTTACCTACTGGCATTCAATTACTTTTGTGAAATGTCAGATATCCTCTCACAGTCTCGCATAACAATTTTTGGTCCAAGAAAACATTATTAGTGAGCAGAAATTCGTCCGTGTATCTGTTACCACTCGTCACTTCACTCAGTTATAAAATAGAAGGATAACTCGTGTTTTCCTTTTGCCTTCGTCACTTCCGTTTGTTGGTGAAATAAAGATCTTGAAGTCACCAAAGCCAGTTTAGACGTTATTGCGTGCGCAGTGAGTCTACCCTAACCCGATTCCCCCCCACATATTTAGTACGTTTGCGGTAATATATCTCGAAAAGCCAGCATACGAGACTTCTTGATTTTTGTATTCTAGTAGTTTATTCACCCCTTGACTCTGTGAAATACAAAACATTTTGCCACCAAAGTTGCTTTGGGTGCTTTTGATGCAGCGTGCGAGTACCCCTTGTTTATTGAACCCACCAACCTCGCCTCGAATCTGGTGCTAGGAATTTTGCGGTGGTATAACTCGATACGCCAACGTAGAAAGATAATGAAATTTGGCATGTTCATACCTTATGCACCTGTCGAGTTAGTGAAATAAGGATCTGGAAGCCACCAAAGCTAGTTTAGAAGTTATTGTGTGCGTGGTGAGCATACCCTAATCCGATTTCTCATATTTTTAGTACATTTACGGTAATATATCTCGAAAAGCTTCTGAAATTTTGTATTCTAGTAGTTTATTCATCCCTTGATTCCTTGAAACAAAAAAACAGTTTGCCACCAAAGCTGGTTTGGGTGCTTTTTGATGCAGCGTGTGCGGACCCCTTGTTTATTGAATCCACGAACGCCGCCTCGAATCCGGGTGCTAGGAACTTTGCGGTGGTATAACTCGATACGCCAACATAGAAAGTTAATGAAATTTGGCATGTTCATACCTTATGCATCTGTCGATTTGGTGAAACAAAGATCTTGGAGTCACCAAAGCTAGTTCAGAAGTTATTTTGCGCGCAGTGAGCCTAGCCTAACCCGATTCCCCAATAGTGTAGTATGTTTACGGTGATATATCTCGAAAAGCCAACATAGGATGCTTCTGAAACTTTGTATTCTAGTAGTTTATTCATCCCCTGATTCCGTAAAGCAAAAAACATTTTGCCACCAAAGCTGGTTTGGGTGCTTTTTGATGCAGCGTGGGTGTACCCCTTGTTTATTGAATTCAATAACGCCGCCGCGAATCCGGGTGCTAGGAACTTTGCGGTGGTATATCTCGATAAGCCAACATAGAAAGTTAATGAAATTTGGCATGTTCATACCTTATGCATCTGTCAATTTGGTGAAATAAAGATCCTGGGGCCACCAAAGCTAGTTTAGAAGTAATTTTGTGCGCAGTGAGCCTACCCAAACCCGATTCCCCAATATTTTAGTATGTTTACGGTAATATTATCTCGAAAAGCCAACATAGGAGGCTTTTAGAATTTTGCAGTCTAGTAGTTTATTAATCCCTTGATTCTGTGAAATAAAAAAACATTTTACCACCAAAGCTGGTTTCGGTGCGTTTTGATGCAGCGTGGGCGTATAACCCTTTTCTATGTGCTCAGTTAGCCTAGCCCTAGTGTGCGATATTTTAGTATGTTTACGGTAATAGTTTTTGGGTTTTTTTGTTGTTTTTTTTGTCTATTACTTAATATAATTTGCATTAATATGTCTTAAATGTTATTTTCTAATATAAAGGTAACAATTATTTTCGTGATAATATCTAGGTTTTTATTGGCGCTAGGAATATGTGTGTTAACTTCATTTCGAATCCGGGTGCTGGAATACGGGTGAGAGATTCCTATTATTAGGTGTGGTTTTAGAGCTGTCTACAAAACTTGTGCATCAATTATAATTAGCCCCTTTTTTTGCTTTTTTTTTATAAAAAATGTAGACTGCTATTTGTATCTGTTGGTAAACTAACTGTCCAGTAAGTGGGCATTGGCATCAGAAACCGATCTGTTTCACAGAGAATTACGAGTAGTAATATCTCTGTCAAAGATGACTGCCTTAACACGTGCCGTCACAGCACGCGGGGTCAATCATTGGCTGAATGGCGCGTGCATTGTTTACATAATATGACGTTACTGCTTCGGGCGGAATGCTGCCTTTTAGTCATTTTAATACCCATTTTCACTAAAAGTAAATATGAAATATTTTTTACCTACAAATACGTCAAACCCCTTTATTTATTTTTCCAATACATAAAAAAAAATGTTTTAGAATTTAATATGTCGCAGGAAAAAAGTTAATATTTCTGGCTCATTAAATCGCATCGATGTCATCCTTATCAGTGATTATAGCGGCCTCGCGAAAATTCACTGCTGATCAGTGGGATCAGGAACGAGGAAGATAGCCTCGGTTATCCAGGCGTAATCCCATGCGGCAATGTTATTGTTCTGGTTGGGGATTATGCCACGCCCCTGGTGAATTTAATTGGCTGAGATCGTAGCTCCTCTTTTTGTATTGGTGGAAGTTTTAGGTCCACGTGATTGGTACATGACACTTCACAACAGAGTGAAATTGACTTTTCAGAATCATCATAGTAAAGATTACGATTTAATAAATAAGACGAAAAGCGTACAACAACTGCCCGTGATATGAAACAATGTGGTGCTACGTTTCTCAGCCCAATTCCCTTATCTTAGGGGTAGAAGTGGATCCAAAAGCTAATGGCCAAGAGTGTCTGGATAAGGTAAAGTAGGCTGGCGCAGTATGATACCTGACCGATTTTATTTATTTTAGTTTTAGCGGAAAATATAGATTCACCAATTGAATGACACTTACAGATTCCTTTTTTAATGAAGTTTACTTCTCAGTTGACAAACAGTATTTGGTTTGGGGTTTTTTTTTTACTGTTTATAAACTGTTATGATCATTTGATTTCTTTCTATTGCCCCCGGCGAGATGTAGATTTATAATGTTTTGTTCATATTGACATCGAATCAGTCTATTTCTCGACTACGACAGTTTTTGTTTTAACACTAGGCCCTAGTGTCACTATAGACCTACATGTGAATTAATTAATGGGTTGCAAAAGAGAATACTTTCACGTTAAATGACAATCAGCTGTTGTATTATTTACAAACTGGCTGTGAAGTAGATTTTTTGTGTGACAATTTTTGTTTTCTTATTATTTTTGCGATGCAATATCATGGTCTCTTCTCAGCTGTTCGTCGATCAGCTGGCAAAATGGCCGGACCAGGGTCCAAAGTCCAACTTAAATCGCGATACTCGGAGGTATTAGTATTATTTATCATAGACATATTATTGAGTTTATCACGGGTCAGTGGGCTTTCTGAAATAGCTACTTAACACAATGAGATGTATTTAAAATAATATAACAAATTCTTAAATAGTATTTTTTTTTTAAATTTAAGACAAATATTGAAATAGGCCTTATAGGCCTAACATAATACAAAATATAGCCATAGGCCTGTCACTTTCGTACAGATATATTGTTGTGAAAGTAGCTTAAGACACAACTTAATGAATGAATGAAAATGAGGTTTAACTCCTGTATTCTGCACCCTCCTGGGTAATAAAGGCTGGCATAGGTGTGCTATACTATATTGATTGTGAGGGAAATTTTGGCAGGACAGCAATTGGATTCCAACTGTCATGGGTTCTTTTACTTATAGTTGTATGCAGGACCCCTGTATTTTAGTCCATAGGAATGACTAGCTGCTTTCCATGCTTGACCCCCATGGGGTACCGCACTGCCAACATTGACAGGGCCAAATTAAGGTTTTGTGGGGTCCTAGGCCAAAATATTTCATTGGGCCTATTACACAGGCATGTATTAAGTTTAATATAGAATTATTATTTATTGTTTATTGTTACCAAGTAACCTCTAGTATTAGTGGTATTATATTGTTTTAAATGCCTTAAAGACACATTATGGGAGATTAGATAAAGAGCTGGCAGTTCTCACTATATAATAGTTAAAAACTAGACAATGTAGTAAAGGGAATTTGCTGAAAATTTCTGTCAAATTGATCCACTCTGAACCAAGAATTTAGCGATTGAATTTTTGGCCTAGCCTCGATCACCATTGCCATTACTAAAGTTGGTGACTCGGTTCGATAAATATAGTCACTTCTCGATTATCCATTTTTTTTATTTAATCATGAATGATCCTAATCCAGTAAATATCGCAGGCTAGCGATGACATCGACAGTTAATTATGGTCTGGATACATTAATTTATAATGTCTATTAATAATTTAGATAACATTTCAAGCATAAAGAAAGACCTGCAATAGGCAGATTTAGCTCTTGCATAATGTATGTTTAAGACTTAATCCTTCAATAATGTTTATATCAACTCCTTTTATATTAAATAATTTATATAAAAAGACAAATGTTCGTAAGATGAATCATTAGTTGGAGAGACCAGTTTAGGGAACTTATGTACTAGTTGGAGGTCCGATTTATAGAAAATTATAAGTTGTTTAATTGTTGCTGTTATTTGCTCCTGAAATAAGTGTTGAAGATCCATTCCAAGAATCTGTATTCATTTCTGATACTTAGAGAACACACGTCGACGAGCTACATCCCCTGAATGTCAACAGTGATCAAAACAACAGCTAACTATAGGCCTATTTAATCTTCCATACTATAAAATTTTCACTTTATTTTATATTTTAATTTACCAAGAAAACCCATAAAATAAGTAATTTAGACTTTGCTCTGATATAAGCAAATTCGGATATAAGCAATTTCAAGCTGTCATCCAACCCATTGCTTATATCAGAGCTCTACTAGTACTGTACCAGCAGAGGATTTATTGAACCAAGCAAGAGTTGGCCTGTGCCTTAATAGCCTGAACACTGGGATCAATCAAACCTGGGACAGTATCAATTTACAATTCATGAAATTTTAGTGGTTTTCAAGGAGTTTGTGCATGCTCCTGAAAAAACCATACAATATTTCTAAGTAAACCACTCTTAAGTGAGTCCAGATATATTTTGAATATGATAAGTTTATCAGGGGTTCGTTATTATTGGCTTGTGTAATGTGTAGCTACATGTATGTAGACCTCTATCAGATGTTTTTGGTTTTACATTTACTCATACAAACCAAGGTCCCGTGTACACATTGATGTCCAAGTAAAATATCCCTTGGCAAATGGAATTCGATATAAGAGTAGGTTGTAGCTACGCTGTCTGGGTAAAATTTCGCTCATGGCCCACTGTATGGCGTATGCCCGTCTTCATTAGCTCAGTCAGAGCAGAACAGTAGAACATTAAACCTCATTTCCTTTCAATGATATGGCAAAATAAGGTATAGTTTATGAGGAATTTGTGTTTTGAACTTCATTATTATTACTTTTATATAAAAAAGGATTATACTATTATACACAATCAACTGATTGAATGTAAACTTTTGAGTCATAAACATTAAAATCTAGGTTATATAGGGCAATTTTGAATATTACATTAAAATTATATCAAATTAATTACATTTATTTTATTGCTATAAGTGATAATGCTTCTTATCAGAATTCAACTATGATCTGTCACATTTTTTGTATCAATGATCCGGGTATAATGTTGCAAGCCTAAATTTAACTTGAATAATTTTAAAATTGGAGTACTTTCTGTTAGTACAATGACCTTTTTACGTGTCAAAAGATTTGATTGAATTAAACTTTTTATTTTTTTATAACACAAAAAATCCTATTACTAATAGTATAAGAGTAATGGTTGCATCCATAAATGAAGGCATCTAATAGATTTTAAGCAAGCTACTTACATTCTATGACTTACTTAATTTTTGGTTTGAAAAGTTATTTTTATATTCATGACTAATGTTGACAGTTAAAATACATTTAATTACACCACATGTACCTTCCAATTAAACATACACTACCTGTCTAATTTACAGGCAGATTGTAGACATTATTGAATTAAAATATATACCATTATTTAAAAAAGGTCCTCATTTTACAGTTCTGCTGAGTAGACTATTGATCTGTTTAGTTTGATATTGCTCAGGTGAACTACACATATTATATGGTTTGCATTAAGCTCTTAAACTTGTTAAATAAAACTAAAACACACATTGTGACAGGATTGTAGAAGGGTTCAGGCAATGAATTTACATTTGCTTGAACTCCACCGTCTTGAAAACAGTGCCCAATAATATTGTATAAATAATACAAAGCATTTTGTTATTCTTTCAGTTTGTCAGTTTGAAATTTAATAGGTAGACAGGTTACTGTAATATGCTAACTTGCTAAGCCATCAATACTACATGTAGTTGTAAATTTAAATCTGAAAAACTTTACATTTTTATTTATTTACTTTAATTATTTTAAGCAGAAGCCAGAAGCGTGTTTATATTTAATTTTATTATTTATAACTTTGTTAAGTCATTAAACTTAATCTCATTAGTAGTGTAATGTGTTGAGCCATCAGTTGTAAATGTAAATCAAAAAAATCTTGTATTTAGTTACTTTTAAAGTTCATTTAATTTTGAACAGTAGTTAGTAAGTTGATGTTATAAGATTGTGGCTTTATGCCATTCAAAACCTTTAACCATTGAGGAAGTGAAAATGCAGCTCAAGGAAGCTTCTGAGTCTGACATAAAAACAGTAGACATTTTTATTAAGTGATGTAAAGAGATAAACTTAAAATTTATCATTTCAAAGCGAAGTAAGAAATTATCCAAGCAGTGTTTTGGATTGAATCACTGACTGGAAAATTTTTATTTTGTCCAGGAGAAAAAAGGAGACACAGTCTGACAAATGCAAATATTAAAAGTACATGTATGTCAAAATGAAATTTATATGTAAATGTATAATTAATGTATTTTCAGATATGTGAACAGTTAGACATAATAGAAGTAGATTACTTTGGATTAATGTATAAAGGCAGTAAAAGTGAAAATTTATGGTTAAATCTTCGAAACCGGATTGATGATCAGCTGTCTGGACCACCACCATACCAACTTCAGATAAGGGTGAAGTTTTTTGTAAAACCACACTATATTCTTCAAGAATCAACAAGGTAATTATAATAGATAATAGAGTTTGGTTGCAGAAATTGAACTACATATGTAAAGTTACATGTACCTGTCTATGTACAAATGTATATTTCGAATATTAAGTGTAAACAGGTTAAGTGAATTAAGCATGGGAAAAGAATTTTTTTTGCAAAGGGTTGTCTTCTTTGTTAATACCTTGACTAAGTTCGATAATGAGCATTTTCTGCTCAGGGTAAGCAGAGCGATAAGCAATTTGATTGGCCGAGACTTTGGAACACAATAACCCTCCTTCTAATTGAGCTAGAATGTTCAAACTTGTTGTAGGTGTTTATTAGGTCAATGCCTTGATGGAGTGTGAAGATAAGCATTTTCTGCTTAGGATAAGTGAAGGATAAGCAAAGATAAGCAATTTGATTGGTTGATGCTTTGGGACACGATAACTTTAGTTCCAATTAAGTGAGAATGATGAAACTTGGTGTATAGTTTCATTACATCAATACCTTGACTAAGTTCGATGATGAGCATTTTTTGCTCAGGGTAAGCAGAGCGATAAGCAATTTGATTGGCCGAGACTTTGGAACTCAATAACCCTCCTTCTAATTGAGCTAGAATGTTCAAACTTGGTGTAGGTGTTTATTAGGTCAATGCCTTGATGGAGTGTGAAGATAAGCATTTTCTGCTTAGGATAAGCAAAGGATAAGCAAAGATAAGCAATTTGATTGGTTGATGCTTTGGGACACGATAACTTTAGTTCCAATTAAGTGAGAGTGATGAACTTGGTGTATAGTTTCATTACATCAATACCTTGACTAAGTTCGATGATGAGCATTTTTTGCTCAGGGTAAGCAGAGTGATAAGCAATTTGATTGGCCGAGACTTTGGAACACAATAACCCTCCTTCTAATTGAGCTAGAATGTTCAAACTTGGTGTAGGTGTTTATTAGGTCAATGCCTTGATGGAGTGTGAAGATAAGCATTTTCTGCTTAGGGTAAGCAAAGATAAGCAATTTGATTGGTTGATGCTTTGGGACACGATAACTTTAGTTCCAATTAAGTGAGAATGATGAAACTTGGTGTATAGTTTCATTACATCAATACCTTGACTAAGTTCGATGATGAGCATTTTCTGCTCAGGGTAAGCAGAGCGATAAGCAATTTGATTGGCCGAGACTTTGGAACAGAGAACCCTCCTTATAATTGAGCTAGAATGTTCAAACTTGGTGTAGGGGTTTATGAGGTCAATGCCTTGATGGAGTGCGAAGATCAGCATTTTCTGCTTAGGGTAAGCAGAGATAAGCAATTTGATTGGTTGATGCTTTGGAACACGATAACTTTAGTTCTAATTAAGTGAGAGTGATGAAACTTGGTGTATAGTTTCATTACATCAATACCTTGACTAAGTTCGATGATGAGAATTTTCTGCTTAGGTTAACGAGCAATAAGCATTTTGATTGGTCAAACTCTTCTTCTAATTGAGCTAGAATGTTTAAACTTGATGTAGATGTTCGTCTTGACTGAGTTCAATGATTAACATATCGAGCTAAAGCTAAGCAGAGATAAGCAATTTCCTGCTTTGGGACAAGATAACTTTGATTCTTCTATCTGATAGAGAGTGATGAAACTTAGTGTATAGTTGATAATCAGTTTGATTGCTTGATACTTTGGAAAAAAAATAGATGTGCGTTTAATTAATATGTGTCATCTATTTATTTGGGGATTTCGGCAGGGGACATCAGCCTCACTGTTGGCTTGTTTTTATACGCCCACATAGAAATGTGGACGTATATTGCCGTCGCCCCCCATTCCGTCCGTCCATCCATCGTCATCCAGTTGTTTTAAAATTGATAAATGTTGTTTGCATTTTTGGATGAAGAAACCTATTTAATTTCAATAATTTCCATTTATTACATCTAGAGTTATGGCCCTTGTTTCACTTTGTTGAACCTTGTGAACGCTCTAACATCAAAAGTTATCATCCAATCTTTCTGAAATTTATAATAATTTATATGCATTATTTAAATTAGTGAAACGAAGAATCCTATTGAATTTCAGCGATTTTCGTTTATTACGTCTAGAGTTATACTATTCAAAAAAAGTAGGGGATATTTGATTTTGGGGGCATAATACTAAAATATGCAAATGACTACGAAAAAAGTCACTATAGAACCTAACAGAAGAAACATTTCCAGTTACATGTGACGCCCAAACGCACCAATAGCTACCGCATGGAATGCAGGTGATGCTTGGGATCATCATGGGGGTCCAACCCAAGATTTGCACGACTCTGACTTTGAATGTTACAGTCATTGTGGCATTGAATTCCAGGGTGGAAACATCAGTTTAATTGTTTTAGTGACCAGAAAACAAATTTTGATATGCGTCGGCTTACCCAAAATGAAAGGTTACGTGCCCTTGACATGCTACAGATCGGCACAACACAGGCGGTTGTGGCGCGGACGATGAATGTTTCTCAGTCTGTCATAAGCAGGCTATGGTCCAGATACCGTGATACACAATCTGTACAGGACAGACCACGCTCAGGTCGACCAAGGGCGACAACTCAAGCCCAGGATTGATTTATCCGTACCTTGGCCTTGAGAAATAGTGTCATCACAGCAAATCAGATCAGCGCTCGTCTTCAAACAGACACTGGTGTGAGAGTGAGTGGCCAGACGATTCGGAATCGACTGCATAGGGGTCACCTTCGCACCCGACGTCCTCGCGTGATCCCTTGTTTGAGAGATCATCACATTCAGGCAAGACGTCGTTGGTGTAGGGATCGTCAACACTGGGATAATCGACGCTGGAGCAATGTGATGTTTTCAGATGAGTCAAGGTTCACTGTTGATTTTTTGGACAGACGTAGGAGGGTGTGGCGTCGTCGAAACGCGCGCTTCCAAGACGTTAACGTCATCAGACATGATCGATTTGGGGGTGGTTCTGTTATGGTGTGGGGAGGCATCACTGTTGCTGGAAGAACAGCTTTACATGTTGTTGCAGGGCGTGTTACAGGCCAGTACTACCGGGACAACATCTTGGCAGTCCATGTTGTGCCGTTCGCACGACGTCATGGCCGCCGTTTCATCTTCCAGGATGACAACGCAAGATGTCACAGGGCCAGGATCGTTACAGGTTACCTCCAACAACAGAACATCACCACATTACCTTGGCCAGCACTGAGTCCCGACCTCTCCCCCATCGAGCATGTCTGGGACATGCTTGGACAGAGGTTACGTCAACAACGTCCTGCCAATGTCCAAGAACTTGCTGCTGCGTTGCAACAGGAATGGGACAATCTGGACCAAAATGACCTTAGACGTCTCATTAGGAGTATGCCACGTCGGATCAATGCTTGTTTGGCAAACAGAGGAGGATTTACCCGTTACTGACTTGGTTGTGATGCTGTGGTAACTTTGCTGTTTGACCCCGGGTATCATTTTACCCTTATAATGGTCAGTCTGTGCCTTACTTAGTCTAACGATCATTTGGAATAAATCGATGAATGTGAACTTCATTTCATTTTGTCATTTGTTTCTTCGTCAGTTTCATTAGGTGACTTTAATAACACTTAAAAATCAAATATCCCCTACTTTTTTTTAATAGTATATATGGCCCATGTTTCACTTTATTGAACCTTGTGAATGCTCTAACACCAAAAGTTATCACCCAATCTTTGTGAAATTTATATGCATGATTTAAATTACTGAAACAAAGAAGGCTATTTAATTTCAATAATTTATGTTCATTACGTCTAGAGTTATGGTCCTTATTTCACTTTATTGAACCTTGTGGACGCTCTAACACCAAAAGTTATCATCCAATCTTTCTGAAATTTATATGCATTATTTAAATTAGTGAAACGAAGAAGCCTATTGAATTTCAGCAATTTCTGTTTATTATGTCTAGAGTTATGGCCCTTGTTTCACTTTATTGAACCTTGTGAATGCTCTAACATCAAAAGTTATCTGCCGATCTGTATGAAATTTGCATGCGTCATTTAAATTAGTAAAGAGAAGAATCTTATTGAATTTCAGCAATTTCCGTTTATTACTTCTAGAGTTATGACCCTTGTTTCACTTTGTTCAACCTTGTTAATGCTCGATTGATGAAAGTTATCAACCGATATGTATGAAATTTATATGCATCATTTTAATTTGTGAAACATAGGTCTATTGAATTTCAGCAATTTCCAACAATAATTTCTAGAGTTATGGCAGTTGTGAACTTTGTGAACATTTGAATGACAAAAGTGATCATCTGATCAGTATGAAATTTATATGCATTATTTAAATTAGTAAAACGAAAAAGCCTGTCAAATTTCAACAATTTCTGTAGATTACTTCCAGAGTTGAGGCCCTTGTTTCAGTTTGTAGAACCTTGTGAAACCTCAAGCCTCAAACGGCAAAAATTATAATCTGATCAGTATGGAACTGTCTTGTAAAGGCCCCCAATTACCTACTAAGGAATAAATATGCGACAACCCTTGTCGACCGCCCGGACGATTTAGCTGCTGTGGGTGTATGTTTCGTTGCCTGTCAACCTGTCTTTGTTATTTGCACAGGCATAGTTGTACATTTACAAACGGGTTATTGACATTGTATAATTACTTCTACTGTACTCCATATTTAGATAAAGTTGAGTGTAGTTAGAGTACAGCATACATATATATAAAGATCAATGTTATTGTTAATCTTGAAGTGTACAATCTACTTCATAAATGAGGTCAAATCTCCAGTCAGGATATGAAACTCTACTAAATGTAGCACACGATTAGCCTATTTGTTTTTAAAATTTCAAATCGTACATTGGACTTTACAATTTCTTTTCTGCAATGTCAGATTACCTACATGGTTTTGTTCCCAAGAATGAGCATGATTAACTTGAAAGTACATGGGCATTAGAAAGAAAAGAGCAATATTAATATCAGAGCACCAATTTTTACAGTTAATAGTAATACATTTAATTTGGATGTACATGTATTGTCGTCACCTGCATTTATCATCCGATTGACTTTTCTTGTGAACACTCTACACACCAGAGTTCTTGTGTGGATGTTCTCTTTTTATACGCCCACATTTTCATGTGGACGTATATTGTCGTCGCCCCTGTCCGTCTGGACGTCCGTCCGTCCGTCCACAATTTGTTTGTGGCCTCTCTACAGATCACAATATAGGTTTATCCCAACAAGATCTCGGCTGCTTTCGATATTGGCATGTATAGGAGGCAGACCACCATTAAATTTCATCATCTCGGTACCCACGAATTGTAGTTCGTCTATTTATAGCAATTCTCTCTCTCTCTCTTTTCTCCCCTTTTGCATGCCCATTTGTGTTGATTTTTTGATCTAGAATGGACGAAGAGGGTTTGAATTAACATTTTCTGCCAGGTTTTGGTAAATATTCATGATTTTGAGGCGGAAGGATAAGAGGGTTATCAGGTTAGCTACGGCGATATGTACGGCAACTAGTTACATGTTTTTAGTATGCTTCTTCAAGTTTGTGTACCTCAAAATTTTGGTGGTCAACCTCATACAAATTTTAGTGCAAAGACATGACCATTTGTTCCTCTGTCTGTAGTGAAAAGCATTCAACCCAACGAAAATTTGGGGAAAAAATGGAGGTGGGCAAAGAGGCCAGAATTAACATTGAAGTCAATGGGGAAATTAATGGTGGTCTGCCTCCGTATCGGATCGAAACTTCATGGATTATGGCCCCTGTTTGTACCAAAAATCATGTTTTTAGCTTGTGGACCCTATAGATGTCACAATTTTTATCCGATTTTGTTGAAACTTGAAATGTAAGTTTATAACCCAAAGATCTCAGTTCCTTTCGATATTTGTGCATATCGGACCTTAACTTCCTGAATTATGGCCCCTGATTGTACGAAAAATCACTTTTTTAGCTTGTGGACCCTATAATGGTCATAATTTTTATCCGATTTAAAAAAACGTTTTATTATATCACCGTTACAGCCTAAGGAAGGTTGAGTTCGAATTTTGTGAAAATCGGACCAAAATTGCTGGACAAAATGGCTGCCGTTTGTACGCGAATAGTGTAAAAATATGGTAAATCAAGGTTGTGGACCCAGTATAGGTCACAATTTTAATTCGATTTTGATGGAACTTGAAATGTATATTTATAACCTAAAGATCATGGTTCCTTTCGATATTTGTGCATATCGGATAGTAATTTCCTGAATTATGGCCCCTGCTTGTACGCAAAATCGCCTCTGTAGGTCATAATTATTATCCGATTTTAAAAAAACGTTTGATTATATCACCATTACACTGTAATGAAGGTTGAGTTCGAATTTCGGGAAAATCGGCCCAAAATTGGCGGACAAAATGGCCGCTGTTTGTACACAAATGGTGTAAAAATATGGTATATCAAGGTTGTGGACCCAGTATAGGTCACAATTTTAATTTGATTTTGATGAAACTTGAAATGCATGTTTATAACCTAAAGATCTTGGTTCCTTTCGATATTGTCTCATATCGGATCTTAACGAAATTGTCGTCGCCCCTGTCCGTCAAAGAAACTTGAAATATAGCTTTATCCTCCTAAGTTCTTGGTTCCTTTCGGTATTGGCATGTATCATACTGTAACTTCATGGATTATGGCCCCTGATTGTACTAAAAATCACGTTTTTAGCTTGTGGACCCTATAGAGGTCACAATTTTTATCCGATTATGTTGAAACTTGAAATGTAAGTTTATATTTCGATATTTGCGCATATCGAATTTTAATTTCCTGAATTATGGCCCTTGATTGTAGGAAAAATCACTTTTGTTTTAGCTTGTTTTCTATCCATCTCTCGAAAATGTGGGCGTATCCTGCCTGGCAGCCGCTGGTTTTAATTTGAAGGGATTGTTGATTTGGATCACAATGTTTTTCTTCACAAATATTTGAGTTCTCTCCCGATTTATGCTCAAATCTCAATACCAGACAAAGTTATTGATATCATTTTGATACGCCCACATGAAAATGTGGGTGTATATTTTTGTCGCCCCCGTCTGTCGGTCCGTCTACAATTTCTTGTGAACGCTCTAACGCCAAAAGTTATCATCCAGTTGTTTTAAAATTGATATATGTTGTTTGCATTTCCGTTTATTACGTCTAGAGTAATGGCCCTTGTTTCACTTTGTTAAACATTGTGAACGCTCTAATGCCAAAAGTTAACATCTGATCTTTGTGAAATTTATATGCAATATTTAAATTAGGGAAACGAAGAAACCTATTGAATTTCAGCAATTTCTGTTAATTACCTCTAGAGTTATGGCCCTCGTTTCACTTTGTTGAACGCCAAAACTTATCAGCATCATTTAGATTAGTGAAACTACGAAGCTTATAGAATTTCAGCAATTTACAATAATTACTTTTCAAGTTATGGTCGTTGTTTCACTTTGTTCAACCTTGTTAATGCTCGATTGATGAAAGTTATGATCCAATATGTATGAAATTTATATGCATCATTTAAATTTGTGAAACCGAGGTCTATTGAATTAATTTCAGCAATTTCCGTCAATTATCTCTAGAGTTATGACCCTTGTTTTACTTTGTGAACCTTATGAACGTTCAAATGACAAAGTTATCATCCGATTTGTATGAAATTTTTATCAAATTTCAAAATTTTCTGTAAATTACTTCCAGAGTTAAGGCCCTTGTTTCAGTTCGTAGAACCTTGTGAAACCTGCTGTGGGTATATGTTTCGTTGCCTGGCAACCTATCTTTGAAAACTCAGTGGGATTGTTCATTAGGGTATATGAAGAGGAACCCTATCGAATTTCAAAATTTGCTGAAAGTAAATTTCAAAAGTGTTTTGTCATTATTTATTTTTTCGCTCATATTTTGACTTACGAAGCTTGTGAACATGGTACAGGACAAAGTTATTCATGCAACTTTTATACCCCCAGATTGAAATGTGGTTGTAGATTGTGGTTACCCCTGTCCAATGGTTCTTTGTTGGATGTGCATTGTTCAGATTAATGATTTTAAGGAACCTATTGAATTTCAACAATTTCCTGTATATGATAATGCTGGTATATGTTTTACACTATACTTGTGCAATATACCTGACCTGAGATAATTTAGATATTCACTGTACTGTAAGCTTACAGCTACAATGTAATCTGAGTGGTGGAAAAATTTCTAAAGTCATAAGAAAAAGCTTTTTGTTAATATTTGAGTTTGCATGAGATAATTGATCATTTTTGACCACCTATGAAATTATATTGTTACTTGTTCAAATTAAATACTTAATATCAGTAGGTCAGTGCTAGGATTTTCAGTACTTAGAAGAATCTACAGTTATTTTAAATATGATATCCATTCTTGTATCAATTTTCTTGTTCCAGACATCAGTTTTATCTCCAAGTTAAACAAGAACTTCACAACAAAGTGTTGGAAGTGGAAAATGAAAACAAAGCAATTAACATGATAGCATTAATGGCACAAGCAGAATTTGGGGATCAAAATAACAATTCTTATCAACTGAACAAATACAAGGAACTCTTTCGGGGAATTTGTGAATTTACAGCCGATAATGTCCATAGAGTTTTTGAGGAGCATACAGGATTGTGTGGAACGTCTCAACCTACAGCAGAATATCAGCTTTTACAAGAAGCAGCCGAACTAGAAAACTATGGGATGGAAACCCACTTTGCAAGAAATGGGAATGGTGATGACATAAAGATTGGCGTGGGTCCAGGAGGTTTCTTTGTACATAACTTAACACATCATACTACGCAAACGTAAGATATGATATATATTTATTATTATAATTGTATAGTCAGAGGGGATTATACGAAAAACATGAAAATGAAAAAAAAAGGTGATGTTGAAGTGTCTGTCATGCATGTACATTTACCTTATAAATCATGAGTATACTATTAGACATGAAAACAATGTGGAGTATCTATAGGCGTTACTGTGAGCCTGGTGGTCAAAGGCTAATACAATCCATTTCTCTCTGATAATTTAAGGCAAAAGTTTTACATGTAGCTCATCATTAATCAATACTTCCTTACTCAGTACAAATATGCGCGGATAACCAGTTATATAGAGATAGAAATGTGGTTTAATTTGACACTAACCAGGTTGTTTTGGAACTAATATGGTACATGTTTAGACAGATGTATAACCTGCAGGGCGATGCCATGTGTGTTGTACGGGACATTCACAAAGTTGTATTAGATAATTCTAAACAAAATTACTACATATTCAATAATTATATTTTTGTATATAGACAGTTTATCAATGTATACTATTATCTTATTGGAATTAATGAACATAAAATGTAAGATGACTTAAGATTAAAAACTATGCTGTGTGTTGTACGGGACCAGAAAAAAGACATTGTTGTTCAGATATATTAATTGAAGTCAAAAACCTGGGAAATATAAACATTTATGACAATAAAACCTGTATCTGCGGTTAGATTAGATGTTAAAGTGATAAGGAACCCCTGTAAGTTTTTATCTTGAACCTTAATTTACACTGTATATAACAACAAAAAGGGGCATACCAATTAAAGTGTTGTACGGACACTTACGAATATATGACACAAAAACACACATAAAACATTAGAAACACAGTTGATCTCCAGCCAGTATGTGAGAAACAGTCCACCCCCCACTTTTACACCCTTCCTCCCCAAGTGAGTATCTGCCAGGTTATCAGGTTATTAAATGATGAAACTAATGGACTTTATATGCTGTGAATTATTCTTTATTCTGTATCTTTTTAATTTCAGTGTTCCATATCCATTAATACAGATGGCTACCTATATGGATAGATCTGTTGTGTTAAAAATATATAATGCAGATGGAGATCCTAAAAATACAATGGGGTTTAAACTAGTCAGTCGTAAAGCTGCTAATGCGCTCTACAGAAGTGTGACAGAGATGCATTCTTTCTTTAGATGTGATACTGTTAGAAATGATGTGTCTACACAGTTTAGTAGAGATCTAAAAGGAACCTTAGCTTCTCTGTTTAATGAAAATACAGATCTAGGTAAGAATAATTTTGTCTTAAATTAGGAATAAAACATATCTATTTGGTTGTAAACACAACAAAATAGATTTACATGTAACAATGATTACTTGAAACTTTCGTGAAACAGCAGATTGGGGACTGACTATCACCACACCTGGCCTGTTAGCTTGTCAGTGATTATTATTTTTTATACGCCCACATTGAAATGTGGTCATATATTGTCATCGCCCCCGTCCGTCCGTCTAGAGGCTAAAGTTAATATCCGATTGACTTTAAATTTATACACAAGTGTTTAAGGTCATGAGACGAAGAATCCTATTGATTTTCAGCGATTTCCGATCATTACTGCCAGAGTTATGGCCCTTGATCACTTCAAAAAATCTTGTGGACGCTCCAGAGGCTCAAGTTAATATCCGATTGACTTTAAATTTATACACAGTGTTTAAGGTCATGAGATGAAGAAGCCTATTGATTTTCAGTGATTTCCGATAATTACTGCCAGAGTTATGACCCTTGATCACTTTGAAAAATCTTGTGGATGCTGTAGAGGCTAAAATTATTATCCGATTGACTTTAAATTTATACACAGTGTTTGAGGTCATGAGATGAAGAATCAATGAATCATATTGATTTTCAACGATTTCGGATAATTACTACCAGAGTTATGGCCCTTGATCACTTTGAAAAATCTTGTGGACGCTGTAGAGGCTAAAATTATTATCCGATTGACTTTAAATTTATACACAGTGTTTGAGGTCATGAGATGAAGAATCATATTGATTTTCAACGATTTCAGATAATTACTGCCAGAGTTATGGCCCTTGATCACTTTGAAAAATCTTGTGACGCTCTAGAGGCTAAAGTTATCATCCGATTGACTTCAGATTGGTACACAGAGTTTAAGGTCTTGAGACGAAAGTATATTGATTTTCAATGAATGTTAAAAGTTTTGTATACTAAACATTAGCATGGGACAGAACTTTATAAAACCAAACAAATTCTAATGGTTTTCTGATAATTACTTAATGAGTTGTTACTCTTAATCAGATTTTAATGTATTATAAATGTTTCATTATCTTTGTTACTTTCTGTCTGTTTGCCAGATGTTAACATTTCTTTTTTTTTGTGTATAGTTCTATCATCCTGTATGAGTACAATGTCTTCAAATAAATCTAAGCAACATATCTTTATATTTTCAGGAAAGAAGTATGTATTTGATATTCGTCGAACCTGTCGTGAAGCTTATGATCATGCTCGACGAATTTTACACACCAACCATAAAGTTCCATCTTCTACATCAGTTCAACATAAATCATTATCAATAGAAAGTGATAAAATAACACACAGCAATGTATCAGATATATCAGAATGCGAGGTAAGTGTTACAATTTGTAGTGATTAACCTGACGGTACAGTAATCACCCCGAGTCAGTTACCCTAACGGCAACTACAATCAAGTTTTTAACGCAACTAACAGTTAACTTTGACCTCAAAATTATTCTATAACAGTTTCAGTGTCTTTCTGACTGACTCTAATCTGTTCTTCGGGACCATTTTTACCGATTTAAGATTGTTTTATAAGGTGGTATGGCACACCTGAATACTTTGTGAATTCCCAACTGTATTATTCACGACATAGCTTATGTTTATTTCTGAAAGTAAACCATGTGTATCCAATTTTAAATGAAATAAATTGTATATTAATTTATTATTTCAGATTTTAAAGAAGAAAATCCAATGTTTAGAGGAAGGATTTACATGTTTAGTTTGTAGAGACAGTTCAATACAAACAGCATTGTGTCCATGTGGTCATGTTATTTGTTGTCAGATGTGTGCTGAACAATTACAAGAGTGTCCATTGTGTCGAAGTAAAATTGAAAAAGTGCAGCGTGTATACATTCCTGGAATTCAGGGAGAAGAAAGTAGAAATATTGACATTGCTAGTAATGAAACTTGATTTGTATTGAGCTTTCATCAAACTTGTTCCTTGCCATCCATTTATTACTCATACCAAATGTTCTCCACATTGTTTATATTTAAATTAATCACATGTCAAATATTCCCTCTTCATATCAAAAAAAAAGAAGTGTCTTAAAGAGTTATTTTCAGTACGCTTTTCTGTCCTGAAAAAAAAAAGCTGATGTTATTTATTTAAATGTTATTAATTTATTTTAAAAAAAGATAGTGTAAGTAATTTAACACTAACCAACCAGCCTATATATTTAAACAGTTCGGTTTGAACTATTTGTCTTTTACTTACATTTAATGTTTCATATCAAAACAAATTTTTACTAATGCTACAATCGAGTGAATTCATGAATTCAAAATTACAGGTTCCATTTCTTAAGAATTCCAAAATTTATAATTTCTTTTTTTAACATAAAATTTTAAGTTTTCTAGTGATTGCATTTGGAAAATAGAATTCTTCAATTCATGGAGGGTTAGCGTAACATCTGTGTCTGTGTTGAATTATTGAAAGACATGGTGTTAATTTTTCAATAAAACATTCTGTAACATTAATGGGGATAATATAAACATAACTTTGAATATCTTACTCTGATAGTCAAAATTTGAATTAATATTTCCTGTCATAATTTTTAGTCATAGTCGTTCAATATTAAGTAAATATTTCATTTTTTTTTTATTTATCAATTATTATCTCTATATAATAGAGTCGGATCTCATATTCATCTTACTTCATATGTGTATATATTCATACATTGTCAATATAGAAGTTTTAAGCAAAAAAGGTTTTGTTTTAATATATGAAAAATATCAAAAGTTTGACACTGAATTACTGTTCTAAGAATTGTTTGTAACACAACATTTTATTTGTACAAAGAATGAAATTCTCAATATGTATTTCAATATTTTGGAATAACAATTTCTTTAATGATAGATTGATAGGACATAATTTAAGAAGACTATTATCAGATGCTTACCTGTTTTCATATAGGCACAGTGTCAAACTGAAGATAAATTACATTCCATTCAAAATGTATACGAATAGTCAGGTCTTTAAATTGTGATAATAATTTAACATTTTGCAGACATATATTTTCATAAAATACCCAACTCCTGCATAGCAAAAGCTGTGTCATAAAATGTAATTTATATTTAAAAGTTTAAAAGAAGTTCATGTTTGTAATGTTGTAATTGTTATGTAAATACATGTACAGAGATACAATATTATATTTAAAATATTTTCATGTTCTAGTATATACCACAGCAAACTGGCTTTAGAAAATAACATTCCATTTAATGAGTTGTACAAACTACTGTACAACAAAATAAAAATGTCCTATACAGTAGAATCTGCATTAAGCAGCCACCCAAGGGAATTTTCACAAATGACCGCTTAACGGGAGTGGCCTCTTAATAAAATCTTGGTGCTTTTTGTGCTGACATAAATTAAATATTACGCTTGGATGCATTGGAAGCGGTAAATTTGACCGTCGCTGAATCTTGCGCCGAACGAAAATTCTTACTCAAATCTCGGACATAACTTCTGTAAACTTGTCATTTTGTACCAACCTTCGATACTACTGTCTACCATTGTGATGCATTCGATAATATTTATCCATTTTTGTGAAGAAAATCGATGAATTAATTTTATTTTATCAAAAAAGAACATGAACAAAAAAACACCACTGATTTTATCACCTATTTACAGGAGGTGTAACTCTGTATCTAATATTATAGGAGGCGCTAAAACGTCTGTTTAACAATAAAGTGGCAAGAGATACTAGATGATCGTGACAAAACTCTTTTATTTTATTCAATCAGTATCAAATAATGTGTCGTTACGCGTGAAAACAATGATCATATTAGTCGTTTAATAAAACAAAAGATTAATTAATAGATAATCCCGGGTTGATTGGTATTTTTATACGCCCACATTTTCATGTGGACGTATTATGCCGTCGCCCTTGTCCGTCCGTCCACAATTTGTTTGTGGACACTCTACAGGTCACAATTCTTATCCGATTTTGACGAATTTTGAAATATAGGTTTATCTCCAAAAGATCTCGGTTCCTTTCGATATTGGCATGTATTGGATCGAAACTTCATGGATTATGGCCCCTGTTTGTACGAAAAATCATGTTTTTAGCTTGTGGACACTATAGAGCTCACAATTTTTATCCGATTTTGTTGAAACTTGATATCTAAGTTGATAATCCAAAGATCTCGGTTCCTTTCGATATTCGTGCATATCGGATTGTAACTTCCTGAATTATGGCCCCTGATTGTACCAAAAATCGTGTTTTTAGCTTGTGGACCCTATAGAGGTCATAATTTTTATCCGATTTGAAAAACCGTTCTATTATATCACCGTTAGACCGTAAGGATGGCTGGGTGTGAATTTCGTGAAAATCGGCCTGAAATTGACAGACAAAATGGCCGCCGTTCGTTCTCAAATAGCATAAAAATATGGTATATCAATGTTGTGGTCACTATAGAGGTCACAATTTTTATCCTATTTTGTTGAAACTTAAAATGTAAGTATATAACCCAAAGATCTCGGTTCCTTTCGATATTTGCGCATATCGGACCGTAACTTCCTGAATTATGGCCCCTGATTGTACCAAAAATCGCGTTTTTAGCTTGTGGACCCTATAGAGGTCATAATTTTTATCCGATTTAAAAAAACGTATTATTATATCACTGTTACACCCTAAAGATGGCTAAGTTCGAATTTCGTGAAAATCGGCCCAAAATTGACAGACAAAATGGCCACCGTTTGTTCTCAAATAGCGTAAAAATATGGTATATCAAGGTTGTGGACACTACAGAGGTCACAGTTTTTATCCGATTTTGTTGAAACTTGAAATGTAAGTTTATAAGCCAAAGATCTCGGTTCCTTTCGATATTCGCGCATATCGGACTGTAACTTCCTGAATTATGGCCCATGATTGTACCAAAAATCGTGTTTTTAGCTTGTGGACCCTATAGAGGTCATAATTTTTATCCGATTTAAAAAAACGTATTATTATATCACCGTTACACCCTAAAGATGGCTAAGTTCGAATTTCGTGAAAATCGGCCCAAAATTGACAGACAAAATGGCCGCCGTTTGTTCTCAAATAGCGTAAAAATATGGTATATCAAGGTTGTGGACACTACAGAGGTCACAATTTTTATCCGATTTTGTTGAAACTTGAAATGTAAGTTTATAACCCAAAGATCTCGGTTCCTTTCGATATTCGTGCATATCGGACCGTAACTTCCTGAATTATGGCCCCTGATTGTACCAAAAATCGTGTTTTTAGCTTGTGGACCCTATAGAGGTCATAATTTTTATCCGATTTAAAAAAACGTATTATTATATTACCGTTCCACCCTAAGGACAGTTGATTTTGAATTTTGTGAAAATCGGCCCAAAATTGACAGACAAAATGGCCGCCGTTCGTTCTCAAATAGCGTAAAAATATGGTATATCAAGGTTGTGGACCCTATAGAGGTCACAATTTTTATCTGATTTTGTTGAAACTTGAAATGTAAGTTTATAATCCAAAGATCTCGGTTACTTTCGATATTCGTGCATATCGGACCGTAACTTCCTGAATTATGGCCCCTGATTGTACGAAAAATCGCTTTCTTTTTAGCTTGTTCTCTATCCATCTCTCGAAAGTGTCCTGTCTGGCAGCTGCTGGTTACATTTCTTTTTACCTGATCAGTGGGGGTCCAGTTAATTAACTACTACTCACGGGATTAGCGGGGGTGTTACAAAGAACGACAAGATGGTATCATTCAACAATGGCCGTTGAATGGGCGATGTTTTGTTGAATTTATTAGTAAAATAGTGACCGCTGGCCATGTTAGAGGAGTGACCGTTGAATAAAGAGATGAGACAACAGAATTTTTACGGGGGGAATTTATCGTGACCGCTTACAAGGAGATGCCGCTGAATAGGAGTGGCTGCTCATACAGATTCTACTGTACTTGCTATAAAAGCTTTACCGGCAGAGTAAGCCATATTTTTAGGGGGCTTATCTCTGTCAACAAGAAACCAGGTGTGACCTCAGTCCAGAGATATATTCATTCTAAGTAACTACAAATGACAGAGGTTGTTTTATAGGCAACATAAATTGCAACAGCAAAAGGAGAATGTGCTTTATGAAATGAAATTCAGTTTGGAAGACACCATTGTTAAATAGTATGGTAAATGGGTCTGTAGCAAGGGTTTATGGGCATTTGTTATTATGTTTGCTAATAAAAGGGTACATGTTGTTTAACCGATATAGTTTTGTCTCAGGGAATGAATAGTATTCACTTACTGTTTATTCAAATATATTAATGTTTTATTATAATAAATTGAATGATGATGGATAGAATAGTATGTTAATATAATTTATTTGAGTTACAAAAAGTGTTGGTGTCAATTTTTTGTTGTTTGAAAGTAGCAGTGGTATGAGTTTAATTAAAATCAGATGTCAATTACATTTTGTTTTATTTTTGATGAACTACATTCACATCTGACATATTCTCTTTGAAGTCAGAAAGTGGTTCAGATTACAATGTAGTGTAAAAATCAGAAATATAAACAAAATGAAATTGTAATTTTAATATTAGTTAGATTGATAGGGTGTGTAATGTGCATCTATTATGTCATAACCAATGTAAATTGCAATTATTAATATTATGAGAAATTGAAACACCTTTTCGTTTGGTAGCCTTCCCGGTCTCGAGTTGATAAAAATCGTGTTAATTTAATGTAGCCTTGATCGTATACAGGGTATTTTAAACATTAGTCAAATTTCATTAATGTACCTTGATTGTTGACTGAAAGATTGATACGAAAAAATTAATTGGAATTAGGTATGTGCATGTTGCATAAAGATAAACTAGAAAATGTACATTCTGTGAAGATTGGTGTGAAAAAAAGACCTAACTAATTATTGCTTTCTGAAATTGTAAATAAAATATCAAATTTTGAAAATATTGTTATAAGTATGCCTATTGTTAGACTTTGTCTAAACCACAAATATCATAAACTAAATAGTCATTTTATCATTGTTAATAATAAAGAGTTTTGTTATTAATTGAATTAAATTATTAAATACATTTGATATTATTAAATGACATTTGCCATGTAGAAATATCAAATGTAGCATCGATGTATTGTATTTATTATATACATAAATCATTGGTCACAATTTAACACATGGGTAATCACTTTGTGTAATTAGCAACTTTTTATTTGACTTTCATAACAAACATTTAATGTGCCTTTTATACATACTGTGTACTACATGTATTAGGATGCAATACTGACTCGACTTTTAGCACAATATGATATTTGCAGGAAATAGTTTGATCCAATAGTGGGATATGGTTAGGGTATTGGTCAAATATTTGTAGGTTTTCTAAGATTTGATATACTTTCACTTTTCTTCATTGCCCATCATTGTACAAGGTACAGGTCATCATGGGTTAAAGAGATAATACCTTATTACAACAATTGTTTATAATTATATGTGGAAAAAAACTAAGTCTTTCATCCATTATGTACATAAAAGATCATATCAATAAACAAAACTTTCTTAAATTTTATGTTGTGTGTGTGTGGTTTTTTTTTATGTTTTATGGCATGTAGTAATATTAATTTCTGGGTTGTTATACTATATATAGCAAATTATCATTTTATAATTGTTCACAATGTCTCCAGGACTCAAAAGAGACAATTTTGCCTCGGCAGCATCAATTTTGTTTCTTGCTTTGTAACAAGATGCAAAACCAATCTTTTCAAGCTTTTATTTGAGTAAGGATAACACACAATTGCCAATGTAACATTACAATTTACTTATCAACATTTGACAATGCAGACATGTGCATACAAAATTCCAATCCACTACTGGCTACACCAGTGGTTCTCAACCTTTTTTGCCAACGGCACACCTTGGAACACATGACAAAAAAGTGGCAAACCTGGCTAAATATATATGAAAAATATTTAAATTTTACAAAATAAAAACATGGCTAGTCATAGACACATAGAATGACGCAAACTTAATAAAGAAAAACACAGCTATGAACTTATTTTATCGCAGTCCAATAGCCGTCTTCTTTAGTGAGAAATTTTCTTAGTGTGCCGTTCAAAATTTCGTGGAAAGGAAGATCTCGCGGTCGCCGCACACTGGTTGAGAAACACTGGGCTACACAGTCAATATATTCTTTTTTAAAACTTAACCAACAAAGTTTAAAATCTGTACCACTGATATTTTGGGCCAATTTATAAACTTGTAGTCCCGATAACTGTAGGCAAATCATAGAGTTAAATATAAACTTTACTCTATGAGCCAAATATTCAATCAGTTGTCTGAAACGAAACGGTAAAAATCACGAGTTACTTCCCTTAATTATATACTCATTCGTAAAGAAGGTTATAACGGTTGATACATGTTGCTTCGAGATCACAGATCAATGAAATTTTGATTTTGTCCGGCATCTCACTAAAACCATTTCTAGAAAATGGCATCATCGGGCAGGTATATAATGGGCCAAGTTATGAAGCGTGGAATAGGGAGAGACAATACTCTAAAAGTGAGATGTCTGCAAATGAAGCTCGATACGTATCTCAACAAGGTAACCTTTCACTCTTTCACTCAGAATGGAATTACAAAAGGGCATCTATATTAGTATATATAATACTTACATGGTTCATCTGTAATACTATAAGGGTGCCTATACGAAACACTGGTAATTGTCCTGCCCTAATAGATGATGCATTATACTTTCTATATAGGACTAGGAGAGAGCTGGTTTGATTTACCCTCAGACATCATTACGGAATTCAGGGGTACACCATAGCCTCCTCAACTTCGAGGCTATGGTGAAGACATCATGATGAGACCGTAGAGACAACATCATTCGGAGTTCAGTGGAACATCGTACCAACAGCCTCTGGTTCGAGGCCGGAAGAGAAACAAAATTTGATGTTTAAGCCGTTAGGTTAGAGTTATGCAGTCTACAGGATGTTAAACTCAGACCGTGGATAATTTAATAACTCCTAAAGTATCTCTAATAGATGTTGTAGTTTTCCTGTATTTAACCTTTGTAGTTTGCTGTATTTGTTATATAAACTTGGTAACAACATAAACGGTGTCTCAGACTTAATTGATCATTGGAAATAGTTATCACAACCTGAAGTCAAAGAAACTCCTAGACGATAGTGTTAGTGTCACAGCTAATTCCTTATTTAGTGCCGTGACAAAGGAAAGTGTCAGATTTTTCCCTGTAGTGCCACAGTCGTCTTATTTGGTTCCGCGACACAGGATAGTGTCACAGTCGTTTTATTAGTGTCACACATCACTGTCCTCACTGATTCATTTCAAAATGAACAATTTTATCTTAATAATTACTCTACATTTATTGAATAGATTAACAGAGATTTCACCACACACTAAAAAGCAAATCATACTTAAATTCAGGAAGCTTGCGGTACCGGTAGTTCAGCTCTGAACGTAGGCCTCATTCTACACTCGCCCTGTACGTTCAGGAACCGTCCTATTGAATCCTTGTCGAAAAAGAATCGACCCCCAGTCAATTTTACTGGGCAACTTTTTACTGCTAAACGGTCGTGTGTTAGTCTCTATGTGAACACCTGAACAATGTAACTTTTAGGAACATTTTATTGAGTAAATGAGACCTTGCTTACCTCGCTAGAGTCAGTATGTGCAACACAACAAGCCCCATTTCATTTCATTTGATGCCATATTCTTGTTTGGAGGGAGAGCATGCGCGATAAATAATGTTGATGTAGACTGGATTGACCAGATGAGACTTATGGTGTATTTCGCCGAACATAACTGATTTGAAATTAGAGTAAAAATGGAAACGATTGAATGTAAATCAGTTTATATACTGATTTGAAATTAGAGTAAAAACGGAAACGATTGAATGTAAATGAATTAAAATCAGTTTATATACTTATTACATTATTAATATGCTTTTCAGCCCTTTTGTGTCAATTTCTAGGTCCCAAATATTAGCAATTTAGCTCCTTTAACAATTATGACAACAAATACATGTATATATAAGGAATGTTATTGTTTTATTATACGCCCACGTGGAAATGTGGATGTATATTGCCATTGCCCCCGTCTGTCGTCCACAATTTCTTGTGAATGCTCTTACGCCAAAATTTATCATCCGATTGTTTTAAAATTGATATATGTTGTTTTCATTAGTGAGATGAAGAAGTCTATTGAATTTCAGCAATTTCCGTGTATTACGTCTAGAGTTATGGCCCATGTTTACTTTATTGAACCTTGTGAATGCTCTAACGACTAAAGTTAACAACCGATCTTTGTGAAATTTATACGCATTATTTAAATTAGTGAAACGAAGGAGCCTATTAGATTTCAGCAATTTCCGTTAATTAGTTCTAGAGTTATAGCCCGTGTTTCACCTTGTGAAAGCTCTAACATCAAAACATATCTGCCGATCTGTATGAAAAGAATCCTATTGAATTTATTTCAGCAATTTCCATTTATTACTTCTAGAGTTATGGCCCTTATTTCACTTTGTTGCACCTCTTGAATGTTCTAACATCAAAAGTTATCAGCCAATCTGTATGAAATTTATATGCATCAATTAAATTAGTAAAAATCTCATTGAATTTCAGCAATTTCTGTTTATTACATCTAGAGTTATGGCCCTTGTATGAAATTACTATGCATCATTTAGATTAGTGAAACCACGCAATCTATTGAATTTCAGCCATTTACAATAATTACTTCTAGAGTTATGGCCCTTGTTTCACTTTGTTCAACCTTGTTAATGCTCGATTGATGAAAGTTATCATCCGATTCGATGAAATTTATATGCATAATTCAAATTTGTGAATTTCAGCAATTTCTTTCAATTATGGCCCTTGTTTTACTTTGTGAACCTTGTGAATGTTCGAATGACAAAAGTTATCATCGGATCTGTATGAAATTTATATGCATTATTTAAATTAGTAAAACAAAAAAGCCTATCAAATTTCAAAATTTTCTGTAAACTACCCCCAAAGTTCAGGCCCTTGTTTCAGTTTGTAGAACCTTGGGAATCCTCAAATGACAAAAATTATAATCTGATCTATATGAAACTGTCTTGTAAATGCACCCAAATACCAACAAAAGAATAAATATGCGACAACCCTTGTCGACCGCTTGGACAATTTAGCTGCTGTGGGCGTATGTTTCGTTGCCTGCCAACCTATCTTTATAATAACAACACAATATCTTATTTTCACCTTAAAGCACTATTATGTCCTTTGAAAAAAATTTTCACAGAAAATTGTTCATCAATCACCACAAATGGACAATTATACGGAAAACTGTTCAGTATAATAAAACTTAGATGCTCTTGTAAGCATCTAATTCTGTTCTGCCCCATCTGTCACGTCATATCCATATTCTTTCATCCAAGTAGATGGTAGAGCTGCTGCGGATATATCTTTCATCTCTTGCAAATACACTCCACTTTGTCTGAAACATCTCTCTCTCTCTCCTGTCAATCTCTGGAGTCCGAACAATAAAGTCCTGTTTTGAGAATTTCTCACATATTGGTCCATAGCCCACCTTTCAGTAATGGTGTATTACATTTATCAAAAGCATAAATCTTTCTCATTGCACCTGATATCATAATACTTATCATTTGTGGAGTTCATATGATCTAAACCAACTTTTCTTTACTATTATACATGTATGGATGTATGCCAGAAGTTTTTTCCATTTTAAAACACTGATATCCCACATCAGCAAAATTTTTAGAAATATTGATACATCTACCACCTATCTAACGATATTTATTATTTTCAGTAAATAAGTTAAGAAAGGTCGGAGATGCATATTTGGAAAGGTAAATGCTTATTAAACTTTCCATCCTTTTGTAATTTGAGGTATTACAAACAAAATCCTGTGTTAAAATTCTCAAAATATGACCCCAAAAAAACCCCAAAGCCACATCCTTCTTCGCTGCGTTGACATCTTATCCTTCCAGAGTTTCTGTCAACCTGTAGACTTGCATATAGGAAAATTATCATCAAAGTAATTTGCTTTTCTTCTTTTTCAGTATTTTAATGAAAGAAAAAATATCTGGGCCAAAGAAGATGAAGTGAAATGTAATGTTGGAGATATTGTTTTATTACAAGAAATGTCAGAACTTAAAATGCCTCGAATTACTCATGATATAAAAGAGGTGGTGTTTCCATTAGGAATGGTGGTTGATCCAATAACAGGCAGGCGATGTCGAGGAACTGAATATATAGATGAATCTATTAGAAAACTGGAAGCTGAGAAAATAGCAACAGAGAAATCATTATGAAGTGATTTATAATTACATATTATACAATGATAAAAAATGTGATAAGTTACATGAGAGACACAATAGTTTTATTGTGTAGAATTGTTTAATCAATAAATTAAATAAACTATTCATAAAATAGATGTTAATTGACAAGTACATGGAGTTTAATTATATAGTCTACAACTGGGAATTTAACAAAAACATTTTATGGCATTGTATAAGTATAATAATGGAGAATAGAATGTTGATTTATATAATTGTTTACCAGTAGTGTATGATGAATGCTATTTTTCCAACATACTTACCAGAACATATACGTGTAACGTTTGTCTAAGGCATATTTACAATGAACACCATAATATTGTATCATTCAATATTATATAAACAAGGATATGTTTATTGGATTATAATTGAGTGCTTCCTGAATCACAGTGAATGAATGTTGTTTGTCTTTTGTTTGTTTATAATATACATCTTTAATGCAAATAAAAAAATTAAGAAGCATTTTTAAGAATTTTATTTGCTATATATTATATTGCTTTAATTGTACGTCGATATTTAGGTGAGTTAAGTCATCATGTGCACTTAAAATTGTCAAACTCAGCCATGAAATAAATTGATTGGAATTAACTGTTTCATCAACACATCATACTTCCATCAATTTGTGACTAACTTGAGGTAATTTATTTTCCTTCATTCTACCTTGTATTATAAGGTCCATGGTTCTACAGTAATAGGATACATGTAACACGTTACTGTAAATGTATGTGGCATATTCTTGCAGGGGGACACTTTGACTGTGAACTTTTTGTATGTGGTCAAACTCAAACTTAGTCAACAGGACCTTAGTTTTTAGTTCAGATATATAAAAAAAAGACAGATTTATTGAGTTTTATCCCTCCAACTTCAACAATATTAGAGTGGAATGGTAGGCCTACACCGACTGTAACTACATTATGGTACGGGACCACACCATAGATTTGAAGCTCATTTGGTCTAAAAATTCCTTCACTTTATCTTTGAAGAAAGGACCTATCTCCCGCTTCATTGCACTCGGCAAACCTCGGCAGATTCCAGTACCCTACATTGGTTACATCTAGATGTACAATGTAGAGTAGACTGGACAACTTGCTCTAAATGACGTCAGACTGGTTCCTACGTCACTGCGCTATTCTGACTTCAATTTATATTATGCAAGTAAGAAAAGGAGTGACGTAAGACTAAGAGCGAGTATGACGTATTAGAGCAGGTTATCTAGTAGACTGGACAATCTGCTCAAAATGACGTCAGGCTGGTTCCTACGTCACTGCGCTATTCTGACTCCAATACCTATATGCATCAGAAAAGGGGTGACGTAGGAGCGAGTCTGAAGTATTAGAGCAGGTTATCCAGTCTAGATGTAGAGTAACAGGATCTGTTGAGGTTTGCCAAGTGGCTTCACTCGGACACAGCTCACCAAATATTTCTACGCAGTCACCCACGAATGTAGGGCAAAAGTTATTTTTAGTCTTTCTCTCCCTTTCCCTTTTCCCCCCTTTTGCATGGCGATTTTTGTTGACTTTTTGGTGTAGAATCGAAGAAAAGGGTTTGAAAATACATTTTCTACCAGGTTTTGGTGAATATTCATGATTTTGAGGCGGAAGGATACAAGAGTTGAGAGGTTGGTTAGGTTGAAATGTAGGGTCCAAAATTGCATGTTTTCTTGTCTCTACTTCCAGCTTGTGTATCTCAAGTTTTCCATGGTGAACCTCATACGTGCTTTTGGGCAAGAGGTTGCCACATGTTGCTCCATCTGTGGTAGAAAACGTTCTACCCAACGAAAATTTGGGAAAAAGTTAGAGCCGGTCTAAGAGACGAGAATTAACATTAAAGTCAATGGGCAAATGTTTAGTGATCTGTGGCCTGTCTATGTGTGACAGGCTGAGACTGATATGCCTTAGTTTTGAAAATATGAAGATTAAACTCACAGAAAATATGAATAAAATATTTTGACTACTGAAAAACTAAAAAAAGTTAAATTTAAAAAAGAAAATCAAAATTTGGAGAAAAATTGTGATTTTACTGCAAATTTCTCAATTTTCAGTTTTTATTTAATTTCTAATAGTAAGAAAAATATTTTAATGCCCAATTTTGGCTTATTCAACCTCAGAAAGCACAGATACAGTGAACAGTATTGTAATTTCACCAAATTTTGTCTAAAAATCTGGAATATTCACAGAAAATCTTTGGATTCCCCCCATTTCAATGTAGAAATCAATCCTTTCATGACTACTCAAATGAGTCAAAATGTCTAAAATGCATCTGATTTTCATTGCTAATATAACTTAGATGGGATCTACAAGTTTATCAGGTTTAGAAATAGCCCCTGATTTCTTACAGAAAATTGAAAATTGGTAAAACTGAGTTAATAATGTACAGCAGATGGGTTTGTACAAAATGTTCAAAACAGGGGCTGGCTCAATTTTGCTACTGTTTTACCCAGAACAAGCATTTTTTTCTTCTTTGTAACATTAAATTCTTGCATTTCCTTCACGTAGAAAGCAATATTCCAGTCTTTCTAGCCATTTTTAACTCCACCATTTCCTTAGGTGAGGCTATAAATGCCCCACCCCACCCTTTTTTATTAATGTGTTTTGAGAGATTTAATTGCACCTGTGTTGACAATTAAATGATAGTAATTGGAATTTGTGGTTGAATTACAGCTAGGAATGTTGTTTTTCACTAATAAATAGCTATTTTGTACATTTCAAAGATTTCTAAGCCTTTTTGTTTAAAGTCAAACTTAGAACCCAGAGACATGTCAGGCAATGAGACCACACCCTAATATTAAACTGGTGTAGATGTGTAAATGTCAGCTTAATGTTCAATATTTTCTTATCAAAGTCTAGGATTTATGGTGATTGTTGCATTTATGTTACTTATAGAACAGTTAAATGTTAATATTGCTCCTTTTCAGGCCTCCTTCATCTTGTCAAATCTGTCATAATTACTTTTTGGACTTCATTTTTTCAGGCAATTGATGTAAAGGTCCAGACATCTTGCTTCAGCACAAGAATTGCAATAAAGATTTGTATGGTGCCTCTGAACCTTGAGATGTTGAAAACATTGAAATTTTCCCAAATTTGTGAAAATTGTGTATTCTGTGACCCTTTTGTTAGAGAGGGGTGGTCATAGACCAAATATGGCATTTTTTTCTTTCATCAAGACCTATTTTTAACCCTAATTCATATTTATTGCACATAGTTTAGTTTATATGTACATATGTTAGCCAGGGATGGTAAAACATAGCTATTAGACAGATTGCTTTAATGGTGTTACTTCTGCAACCAAAGATTAGATTCAGTCAGTGACATATTTAGGGGGTGGGGATACATGTTTAAGTATAGATCTCTAATATTACAATCAATGCAGCTGATTTGTGATTTTTCTGTTTGTATATTGGCCAGGGTTTCTAAAAATATATCCCTTTTCGGTCTGGCTATCTAAAAAGTGGAAAATAATTGGGTTTTTTTTAAAGATGCTACATGTAAATTTTGTACATTTTTCATGACATGGCAGTAAAAAATTATATTTTTGAAAAGAAATCAAGCTTATGAGTGTTTTCTGTGTAATTTGTTTGTAACTTGTCTAATTTTTTCACAGAACTCAAATACTGCCTTTAATAAGAAAGATTTTTAAATTTTAGCACAAAAGGCCCATGGACCTGAGATGCACTACTGTACATAAAGCGGCATGTATACTTAAAGGGCCATCATTTTTGCAGTTATTCTTTGATTTTGATTTCCTTTCACCGGTATGTTACCAGAACATATGGGAAGCATATAAAAAAGACTTTTTGGTGATACCTGAAGTTTCACCCCTATATAGGACACAGCTCACCAAATATTTCTACGCCGTCACCCACGAATGTAGGGCAAAAGTTATTTTTAGTCTTTCTCTCCCTTTCCCTTTTTCCCCCTTTTGCATGGCGATTTTTGTTGACTTTTTGGTGTAGAATCGAAGAAAAGGGTTTGAAAATACATTTTCTATCAGGTAGAGTGAATATTCATGATTTTGAGGCGGAAGGATACAAGAGTTGAGAGGTTAGTTAGGTTGAAATGTAGGGTCGAAAATTGCATGTTTTCTTGTCTCTACTTCCAGCTTGTGTATCTCAAGTTTTCCATGGTGAACCTCATACGTGCTTTTGGGCAAGAGGTTGCCACATGTTGCTCCATCTGTGGTAGAAAGCGTTCTACCCAACGAAAATTTGGGAAAAAGTTAGAGCCGGTCTAACTTCTAAGAGACGAGAATTAACATTAAAGTCAATGGGCAAATGTTTAGTGATCTGTGGCCATTCAGGAAACTTAGTTTTAGAGACTTGATGATCCAAATTAAACTGTAAAGGGAAATAACTCTAAATAATTTGACTTTTCTGGAAAAATTTCTGTAAGTGATATCTACACAGAGTACTGTGATATCTATAACTATAAGGTGTCAAAATATTATGTTTCTTATTTCTAAATTATTATTTGTCACATAAGGAATTTTGTCAGGAAACAAGAATTCAAAAGATTTGATTCTTGTTAATTAAGTAGAATAAAAAGCATCTAGTACATATATGTATAGGCTAATATTAAACAAAGAAAAGCTGGCAGATACCTAATTAATGAATTAGTAATTATTGCTAAAATCTTAATTTAATTTGACTGATAGCCTACGTTTAGTGGCTATAAATACCACGAATTGTCACCGCTTACATCTAACGTTAGTTGTTCTCTCTAGCATTAATACAGTAGTAAGCTTACATTGTATTGTATATAATCATGGAATCTGTATATAAGGTCCATGATATAATGAAATTTAGCTAAGCCTGCAGTACACAGTAATTTGTCTACAACCAGGTACTCCATTCATAAATATAGGTTTTCTGCCTCATTAAAAACAAAACGGTACTGGTACCTGTCATGTAATTTTATAAATAGGGCTATATAACGCGCGTAAAGTTTGTGACATACTTTTCAGGATTAGGCCAAGTTGCCTATAGACAGGTATAGTATGTGTGCTATAGTACTGATCGTTCTCCTCTCTAGCATTGTGCATTTGGTCATAATATGGTCAATTAATTTTATTTGGTTGATGTACCGGTAAACTCCATTTCCGTATGACATCAGCTTTTTATCCCAAATAACCATCATGACAAGCCTATGAGATTTGAAAAGATTTTTAAAACTAAATTGAGGTTGAGATTGTTTCACACCAATCATCTTGGCATCAAGGGAAAGTCACAATGCAGTTAAACTGCATTTTGTGACTTATTTGTCAATCTTCATCTCCCAAAGATCTTGGTTCTTTTCGATATTGGCATGTATTGGACCCTATAGCTTCTTGTGATAACTTTAGTTTTATCTAATAGTAAGTGCAGGAGGACCGCACTACACGTAAAACAAATCTACAAGATAAACCTGCGGACAAGACAGAAAATAGACATTGCACCAAATAAACAAATATCAAATCAAGTGAATGGATCCGGGTGCCAGCCGTAAGCGTCCACTGCGCTGTACAGTCCCGGGCCTGTAGTGACACAGACTTCACTCAAATTTGAAAACAATCAGGAATACAAAAAAGACGTAACAGAAATAATGCGACCAATCTTGGCAGTGGTCGTCTCCTCAATGGCGATAGTCTGCCAGTTGACGTCATGAGTTAGAACGTCAAACAATTTTAACAATAATTGCGATAATCCGGATAGAATCTCGTGAGGACACTTGGTGTATAGTTTTATCACATCAATACCTTGACTAAGTTCCATAATAAGCATTTTCTGCTTAGGGTAAGCAGAGCGATAAGCAATTTGATTGGTCGAGACTTTGAAACATGTTAACCCTCCTTCTAATTGAGGTAGAATGTTCAAACTTGGTGTAGGCGTTCATTAGGTGAATGCCTTGATGGAGTATGGTAAGCAGAGATAAGCAATCTGATTGGTTGATGCTTTGGGGCAAGATAACTGAGTGATGAAACTCTGAGTATAGATTCATTATATCATTACCAATACCTTGACTAAGTTTGATGGTTAGAATTTTCTGCTTAGGCTAAGGAGCGATAAGCAATTTGATTGGCCAAGACTTTGGAACATAACAACTCTGCTTTTAATTAAGGTAGAATGTTTAAACTTGATGTAGATGTTAATTAGGTGAATGTCTTGAATGAGTTCAATGATTAACATTTCGAGCTAAAGCTAAGCAGAGCTAAGCAATTTCATTGGTCCATGCTTTGGGACAAGATAACTTTGATTCTATCTGATAGAGAGTGATGAAACTTAGTGTATTGTTGATAGTACGTTTGATTGCTTGATAAATGTGCGATTAATTAATATGTGTCATCTATTTATTTTGGGATTTCAACGGGGGACATCAGCCTCACTGTTAGCTTGTTTTGTATAGTTTTTAGCTTACTGAGTTGAAAGTAGAACAAAAGTAGGTTATATCTCAGCACTGACTTTATCTGTAGATATACTGGTAATAGTTTCAAGTAAGACGGATTGTCATCCCACAAAATAAATCAAAATACAAATCTAATGAAAATGACAATTTTAAAAAGAGATCTAGCCATTTTAAAGCAAGAGAAAAATGAGGTTTAATGTCCACACAGCATAAATTAGATCATTTTGGAACTAACTAACATGGTACAGTATTTTTCAGTAAAAGAGGAACCCGGAGGACCAAGAGTCGACCATTCCCTGTCATGGTTCATACCCCCCACCCATATTAAAGGAGATGGATCATGTGTTTCTATATTATAACAAAAAATATATAATTAAATGACAAGATGTTTTCAGTAAATCGGTCAAAATTGTTTATTTTGTGTCAAAATTACCCTTTCCAATTGACAGTGACTAGTTCTGGTGAAATTAAAGATATTTGTATACTTTCCTAATGATAGTGTTAAATGTCTATTGTCTCTTTAACTAGTGTACACCCTGTGTGACTGGTGTAATGATAATATACTCTATATATTATTACAGACTGGTCAAAGTCAAGGCTATTTGATTATTATCTAGATTACTTCTAACAAAATGTCTGTACAGATACTAGATCACCAGCTTGAAGATTATTTTAATACAGCTGTTGAATTAGCTAAAAAAGCGGGACAGGTAAAATTATATCTATTATTATTAAAATATTCTTTTAATAATGAAATTATGGTTGGTCTACGATTTGGCTTGCTATCAGAGTGGCAACATTTTTACCATAAAGCTTGCTATTTTTATCTGTGCCCAGTTTCACAAAGCAGTGAAAAGTTACCTACATGTAAGTTCAATCAAGTTGTATTGTAAAATGTAGGATTTAGGTGTTAATTATACAGAAACAATACAGAGAATTAAACTGCTATATCTGCACTGGTTTACTAAATATTTCCAAATGCACAATGATTTGTTGAAGTGTTTGGTTGATGCAACTATATTTAACTTTTTTTGGTATCATGTACGGGTGAACGCTTAAAGATAGCCATTTAACTATCAATGTGAAAATCAGTTGTGCCTCACCTGGTTGTCACTCATGAGAAATCAGACTGTCAACAACAAATGATCCTTAATGTAGATGTAAATTTTCAATTATGATAAAGGATAGACGTATCCTACACTGTTGATCAGAAGTTTTCATTCCTATCTTAGATATGTACAACATCAATTTATATCCACACATTAAACATTGTGATGTCTTTGATCATATTGTACTGCCGAGATATTCATTATTCCAAAACATTTATCTTTATTATTTACTTTGTCTATTTATGTATAATATAGACTATTAAAGAAGCTTTCTATAAAGAGAAGAATGTAGATACAAAACAAAGTGCAGCTGACCTGGTAACTGAAACAGATCAAGCTGTTGAGAAAATGGTTCAAGAAATAATTAGCCAAAAATATCCTACACACAAGTAAGACATTTTCACATTATTTCCTGATTACATTGCAATGAAGATGGCTGTTTTCCCGACTTTCAGGAACATATAAGTTACCATGTGTCTGCTAGATAATGACAAAACAAAAAATGGTGTGAAGCTTTGTAAGAAAACCACCTATAATTATGTTTTAAAAAAAACTAGGTTTATCTCAATGTGCATGGATGATATAAACAAGTTATTCTTCCATAAAATTTATTCTTTCCTTTATCCTCCTGATTGATTTCAGTGAAATTAACAGGTATGTTACTTGGACAGTGGAAGAAAGATGGCTGCCTAGTGGTTGCATTGTATTTTTGTTCTCCACCTTCGAAGAAAGCAGGGGCCTATTAAAATGGGTTCGTCCGTCTGTCTGTCCGTCACACTTTTTGGAACATGATAACTCTCCTTCTAATTGAGCTAGGTGTAGGTGTTTATTAGGTCAATGCCTTGAGAGTGATTAAACTTGGTGTATAGTTTCATTACATCAATACCTTGACTAAGTTCGATAATGAGCTTTTTCTGCTCAGAGTTAGCAGAGCGATAAGCTATTTGATTGGCTGAGACTTTGGAACACAATAACTCTCCTTCTAATTGAGCCAGAACGTTCAAACTTGGTGTAGGTGTTTATTAGGTCAATGCCTTGATCAAGTTGATGGAGTTGGAAGATGAGCATTTTCTGCTTAGGGCAAGCAGAGATAAGCAATTTGATTGGTTGATGTTTGGGACACAATAACTTTAGTTCTAATTAAGTGAGAGTGATGAAATTTGGTGTATGATTTCTAATTGAGATAGCATGTTTAAACTTTGTGTAGGTGTTTATAAGATCAATGCCTTGATGGAGATCGATGATAAACATTGTATGCTTACGGTAAGCAGAGATAAGCAATCTGATTGTTGATGCTTTGGGGCATGATAACTTTGGTTATAATAAAGTGAGAGTGATGAAACTCTGAACAAAGATTCATTTTATCATTGCCTTCACTAAGTTCGACGATGAGAATTTTCTGCTTAGGCTAAGAAGCGATAAGCAATTTGATTGGTCAAGACTTTGGTCAACCACTCTGCTTTTAATTGAGGTAGACTGTTTAAACTTGATGTAGATGTTCATTACTGAGTTCAATGATTAACATTTCGAGCTAAAGCTAAGCAGAGCTAAGCAATTTCATTGGTCGATGCTTTGGGACAAGATAACTTTGATTCTATCTGATAGAGAGTGATGAAACTTAGTGTATAGTTTATAATCAGTTTGATTGCTGGATACTTTTGAAAGAAATAAATGTACGATTAATTAATATGTGTCATTATACGCCCACATTTTGTTGTGGACGTATATTGTCGTCGCCCCTGTCCATCTGTTACATCTACCCTAATACAATGTCACCTCCGCTGTTGCTTTACGGTAATTAAATTTATAGCCTGTCCTTTCCATCTACAGTAATACACTGTCACATATACTATATCTTCTACTTTACTACAGTAATAAACGGTGTCTTTACCGTAATAAAATTGTTCGTACCTCTGCAGTATTACATTGTCACAGTATGTCCTATATTTTAATCCAAAAAAGCCCCAAAGCTTGCAAATCCAATATTATACGCCCACATTTTCATGGGGACGTATATTGTCGTCGCCCCTGTCCGTCCGTACAAAATTTGTTTGTGGACACTCTACAGGTCACAATATTTATCCGATTTTGACAAAACTAGAAATATGGGTCTATCTCCAAAAGATCTTGGTTTCTTTGGATCTTGGCATGTATTGGACCATAACTTCAGGGATTATGGCCCCTGATTTGTATGAAAAATCACGTTTTTAGCTTGTGGACACTCTAGAGGTCACAATTTTGATCAGATTTTGATGAAACTTGAAATGCATGTGGGTGATTCCACATCAAGTGTACACAAGGTTCTGACATGACCATCACAGATTGTGATGATTTTTGGTGTGCAAGTTAACATTGACGAAAAAACGTGATGTGCAAAATTTTAGCGCTGGTGGCGGCCCAAAATTTGGGCCTCTTCAGCTGACCTTCAAATTTTGAAAATCCATAACTTCGCCCCTAGTAACCCTACTTACACGAAATTGGTATCAAATTGTTCAGAAAACAGAGATCTTTCTAATGACTGGAAGTGCGAACTCAACAGAACAAAATCCAGGCAGATCGTGTTTGACCTTGACCTTTGAACTTGTACGCAAATAGTGTAAACATCTGGTATATCAAGGTTGTGGACCTGCTAGAGGTCACAATTTTGATCCAATTTTGATGAAACTTGAAATGCCTGTTTATAACCCAAAGATCTTGGTGCCTCTCGATATTCGCGCATATCGGATCGTAACTTCCTGAATTATGGCCCTTGATTGTACGAAAAATCGTGGTTTGAGTTTGTAGTCCTTCTAGAGGTCACAATTTTTATTCGATTTAAAAAAAAGTTTTAGTATATCACCGTTACACTCTAATGATGGTTGAGTTTGAATTTCATGAAAATCAAAAAAAAACTGACGGACATAATTGCTGCTCCTTGTACGCAAATAGTGTAAAAATATGGTATATCATAGGCCACAGTTTTTATCCGATTTGAATAAAACTTTATATGTTTTTGATCATCACACATATCCAAACGTAACTTCCTGGATTATGGCCCCTGATTGGTGAAAAAATCACATTTTTAGCTTGTGGATTCTCTACAGGTCACAGCTTTTTCCGATTTTAAAAAACGTTTAGATATATCACGATTCCACAATAATGAAGGTTGAAATGGAATTTCGGGAAAATCGAAATGAAAGTGCCTGACAAAATGGACGCTCTTTGTACGCAAATTGTATATAAGTATGTAATACAAAGGTCTGTAATTTTTAAAAGAGAGAGAGAGAGAAATGGGGTTTAACGTCCACTCGACACAAACTAGGTCATTTCGGGACTAACATATGGTTTAATTTTATTTCAATAATTTGCTTGCGCGTAGGGGTCTTTTAGCAGTGGGAGGAAACCGGAGGACCCGGAGAAAACCCACGAGGTTGGACAGGCGACCCTACTCCTTGTCACGTACAACCAGGGATTCGAAACCACGCCAGTTGACTCAATGACAGGCCGTATGATACAGCACGCACTTGCTAACCATTCGGCCATCCCCCCCCCCCCCCTGTAATTTTTAAAAACTTTAGGATCCAGTGTAGACTCTTCAATTAAAGGGGTAACATAAGCTTCTTTGAAAACGTTGGGAAAAGTAGAGGATGATATACAAGAATTAATAATATTGGTAAAAACTGGAATAACTTCGTCTAGACAGTCCTTAAGAACAGGAGTTGGAACAGGATCTAATGAACAAGATTTAGGAGCAGACGATTTAATTAGCTTTAAAACAAAAGATTCACTAACCAAGTTAAAATTTTCTAAATAAACAGAATTTTCAAACTTAACAAAATCATGAGCGTTAAAGTTATTAGTTTTATTTATTTAAATCATCAAGTTCGGTTTGTATTTCTGTATTTTTATTTGAAAGGAATCAGAGAATAAATTCGCAAGTTCAGTGTCATTATCATTGTCCGGGAGAATAGTTCGCTCAGCATTATGATCCAAAAGGGAATTCAAACTTTATACAGGTCTTTTTGTCTGTTTTTGCCATTTTCTATTTTATCAGAGTAAAATTTAATTTTAGCGTCTTCAATTAATTTATTCACATTGTTTTTTAAAGATTTATAAATCTGTTTATGGACATGTAGATTTGTTTTCGGCCACAGATATTCAGCCTTATTACGGTCCCTTTTGGCTTGTAAAATAGAATCATTAAACCACTGCGTATTGGGACGAATAAATGTTTTAGTTTGAAGAGGCACAAGTGGGTCAATTATTTCAGCGAGCTTAGAGTGATATTGGGGTTGCCTTCTCTTGTATATCTTTAATACATTGAATGTCATTGAAATCCGAGTTGACTATTTCCGCTTGAAATTTATTAGTGTCAAGTACTTTGTTGATTAAAACATTCTGTGAACTGTAATTTATCCCAAGATTTGAGACATCAGCTTTGTGGTTAATTCTTAATCATTAAAAGTGATCAAATACTAATAACTAATATTTTTTTAGTCAATTCTTAATCATTAAATTAAAAGTGACCAAATATTAATAACTAATATTTTTTTGTTCTTTATAATGCTTTTTATTCTTCAAAGATAGGAAACTTTGTAACAAATGCTTTACTATATTTATGGATTTTTGTACTAAAGTGAGAGACAGAAATGGGGTTTAACATCCACTTGACACAAACTAGGTCATTTTGGGACTAACATTTGGTTCAATTTTATTTCAATAATTCACTTGCGCGTAGGCATCTTTAGCAGTGGGAGGAAACCAAAGGAGCTTGAGAAACCCACGAGGGTGGACAGGCAACCCTACTCCTTGTCGCGTACAGCCGGGAATTTTTGTATTAAAAGGGTTACATGTATATTACGAGAAATAAACAATAAAATAGAAAATGAAATGAAATGGGGTTTAATGTCCTACTGTTCTGCTCCGAACTGGGCTAATGAAGAAGGGCTACGAGGGAAAATTTGCCCTGACAGCAGCACTCTTATATCGAATTCCGACTGTCATGGGATCTTTTACGTGCACACCAATATGTAAACGGGGCGTTGGTTTTTCGTCCCATACGAACGACTAGACAGCTGTCCTTGTCATTCCCTCCAACAAAAAAATAGATCTCATTGTATTTTATTTTTATCACCAACAACCGGTTGCCATGCAAGATACGCCCACATTTTGCAAGAGATGGACAGAGAACAAGCTCAAAAAAAGAAGTGATTTTTTGTACAATCAAGGACCATAATTCAGAAAGTTACAATCCGATATGCATTAATATTGAAAGGAACCAAGATCTTTGGGTTATAAGCATGTATTTCAAGTTTCATCAAAATCGGATCAAAATTGTGTCCTCTCTCTAGAAGGTCCAAAACGGACTCAACCATCAAAAGGATGTAACAGTGATATATTCAAACGTTTTTTGAAAGTGATTTTTCCTACAATCAAGGGCCATAATTCAGGAAATTATAATTCGATATGCAACAATATCGAAAGGAATTGAGATCTTTGTGTTATAAACTTACATTTCAAGTTTCAACAAAATCAGATAAAAATTGCGACCTCTATAGGGTCCACAACCTGGATATACCATATTTTTACGCTATTTGAGAACGAACGGCGGCCATTTTGTCTGTCAATTTGGGCCGATTTTCACGAAATTCGAACTTAGTTCTCCTTAGGGTGTAACGGTGATATAATAATACGTTTTTTTAAATCGGATAAAATTATGACCTCTATAGGGTCCACAAGGTAAAAACGCGATTTTTCGTACAATCAGGGGCCATAATTCAGGAAGTTACAGTCCGATATGCGCGAATATCGAAAGGAACCGAGATCTTTGGGTTATTAACTTACATTTCAAGTTTCAAAAAAATCGGATAAAAATTGTGACCTCTATAGGGTCCACAACCTTGATACACCATATTTTTACGCTATTTGAGAACGAACGGCGGCCATTTTGTCTGTCAATTTTGGGCCGATTTTCACGAAATTCTAACTCAGCCGTCCTTAGGGTGTAACGGTGATATAATAATACGGTTTTTTAAATCGGATAAAAATTATGACCTTTATAGGGTCCACAAGCTAAAAACGTGATTTTTCGTACAATCAGGGGCCATAATTCAGGAAGTTACGGTCCGATATGCGCGAATATAGAAAGGAACCGAGATCTTTGGGTTATAAACTTACATTTCAAGTTTCAACAAAATCGGATAAAAATTGTGACCTCTATAGGGTCCACAAGCTAATAACGTGATTTTTCGTACAAACAGGGGCCATAATCCATGAAGTTTCGATCCGATACATGCCAATATCGAAAGCAGCCGAGATCTTTTGGGGATAAACCTATATTTCAAGTTTCGTCAAAATCAGACAAGAATTGTGACCTGTAGAGAGTCCACAAACAAATTGTGGATGGACGGACAGGGGCGACGACAATATACGTCCACATGATAATGTGGGCGTATAAAAATTACAGGGTTCAACACTGATGTCTAAAATCTATAGGACCTAACTCAATCTTATAACATAGACAGTGTCTTTGAGACAGCTCTGTCAATTATTTAATCGGACAAATATTACGTAATTAAGTATGATGATTGGTTACTAAGCCAAATGATGCAATAGGAATTTTCCAACACAAGTGATAAACATGATATTCTGGGTTCACCTAAAATCATCTCTGTTTTGGTTTTATAAATCTTTTTATGTGTCAACCATTCAATCATTTTAATTTGAGTAGGTAAGATATGACATCCCTACAATGTGTGAATCTAATAATTAATTACAGATACAATATGGTCGCAAAGACCATAGTACTACAGTGCTTAATTGGATTGGGTTAATGAAGTTCTCTGCCCAATATGGGTGGGACAGGACAATCCTAAAGGGTCACATTTGTACACTTTATTATTACCACTTGAGAATCATTTTTATACGCCCACATAGAAATGTGGTCATATTGCCGTTGGTCTGTCCGTGTGTCGTCCACAAATTCTTGGGAACGGACTACATTTATCATCTGATTGTTTTGAAATTGATATGTGTTGTTTACATTAGTGAGATGAAGAATCCCATTTAATTTCAATAATTTCCATTAATTACTTCCAAAGTTATTCCCCTCGTTTCACTTTATTGAACCTAGTGAATGCTCGAACACCAAATGTTATCATCCGATCTGTATGAAATTTATATGCATCATTTAAATTAGTGAAACAAAAAAGCCTATTGAATTTCAGCAATTTCCGTTTGTTAATTACATCTAGGACAATTATTAGTATATTAATAACCCATCACTTCTCACCATGGATTTGGGCTCTTGTTTATTTTTAGATTTATTGGAGAAGAAACGGTGGCAGTTGATGGATCTTCCTGTACTCTAACTGATGATCCAACTTGGATAATTGATCCAATTGATGGTACAACAAATTTTGTACATAGGTAAGGTAGTACAGTGTATCATTGCATCTGTGCCAAAGTTATTGTAGGCTTTTAAAATAGTGGAAAGTCACTTTTTTTTAACTTTCCTACATGAATTGCATTGGCACCTTTTCATTCTAATCCACACCCAAAATCTAGTCTTTAAATCGGCGGTTTCACAGTGGCAATACACTTGAACAATCATGCTATCAAAGATACATATTAGACCAAACCAATTACTTGTTTCACTTTGTTGGACCTTGTGAACATAGAACAACATATTTTATCGTCAGATCTGTATGAATTTGATATCGTCGGTGAAGTGTCAAAAAGGGCGTATCTAAGAATTTCTAAAGATTAAGAAATTTCAAAATTTCCACAAATCCAAGATACAACATTTGGACACATGATACCCAGAACAGTTTCAATTGGCATAGAGATACACAGCTTAGAAAGAAATCTGCATATTTATTGGGAGATTTTAAAAATGCAAAAAAGTGTATTTGACTAATTTCCCGAGATACACTTTTTTGACACTTCACCAACGATATGCATCATTTAAATTAGTGAAACGAAGAAGCCTATTGAATTTCAGCAATTTCCGTCAATTACTTCTAAAGTTATGACCCCTGTATTACTTTGTTGAACGCTCGAATGACAAAAGTTATCATCTGTATGAAATCTATATGCATTATTTAAATTAGTAAAATGAAAAAGCCTGTCGAAATTCAACAATTTCTGTAAATTACTTTCATAGTTAAGGCCTTTGGTCAGTTTGTTGAACCTTGTGAACTCTCAAACAACAAAAATTATAATCTGATCTGTATGAAATTGTTGATTTTTTGCCGCAATTTTTAAATTTGAGGATGTTGACCTTTCTGGCCTGTACAGTCCTTTTGTGATCATGTGTTAAAACATTATTCAAATTTAATAATTATATGGTTAAACATCTGATTGCAAGAATACATTATATGATTTATTCTTCTTGTAGTATACCTGAGGTCTCATTTTCTTGTGGTATAACAGTAAATAAAGAGGTAAACAGCATCTATTTAATACAGTGAAATAATACTAGTACCAATTTAATACAAGATATATGTATCTCTGTAACATCACAGAAAGTTTGATGACCAATATAACCATTACTAGTAGTAATTTTGAATATATTTTATTCTCAAGTTGTTTGTCTCAATATATAAATACTGTATATTTAAAGCCGCTGATCGTCAATTGCATTTTTCGGAAAAAATCCAATTGTTCAGTTTAATCCACACTAATATGTAGTCAGACTGATTATTTAACATTTAATCAAGAAAACACAGCTAAAAAATAGGAACAGTAGATAATCTCCCTGGTTGGATTCAATTAGATAAAGAAAGAAAGAGGCCCACCAAGAGATTTTATTTTTAATAGAAATGACTATATAGGTGGCTTGTTTTTACCTTATCCTGTTTATATAGTTTGCCGAGGATGCCGAATGTTGACATATTTAAATCACATTGGACTGATATTCCTTTTATAGATCTAACTTCCCATTTAATGTAGTTTACAAGGGATTAACCCTTGTATGAGGATCAGAGACTTGAAAAGATGATTTAAAGAAATTTATATTTTCACTTGTTTTTGTTTAAAATGATTATTACAGGTAGTTATAGGTGTTGTATATGTGCCTATATTAGATCAGATGTATACAGCTAAAAAAGGACAAGGATCATTCCTCAATGGACATAAACTTTCTGTTAGCTCAGTTACCGGTAAGATTACAATATAGTGTATTAACAAACTGCTACTATTTGAAAATTATTACTGAATGTCCATAAAGTCAAGATAATGTGAAAGTGTGCTTCTCAACTATCAATTTATTTCTGAATCTGTTTGCAGGATTCAAAATCACTGGCTTCTGGTACATTCATATATGGAGATGAAATAAAAACACACCACGTTTTTAAATGGATGGTTGTAACTCTCATTGAGAGAAACACTTTAATCTTGCAATTCTGAATGTAAAAATATTAGATCAAGATGATAACACCTGAGAATAATGTTTTCATGGTCACATAAATGCATCTTAAATACGAAAAATTGAATTTGACAGAATAGGAATGTTGAAAATCATGATTTTATGGTGCAGACATGGGGTATATAATGTGGCTTTTAAAAAGCTAGGGTCAGAACAACATCCTCAGTTTGGTGAAAGTTGCAACCCTAACCTGAAAACTGAGAATGAACCATCATGTTAATTCAAGAGGGCATGAGTACCAGAGCCACTGGAAGTAAAATTGCAACTAGAGTGGAGATGGATCCCACAAGCAATCATTCAGAGGCTTACCCCCTCCATGTGGAGACATTGCATGATGTGTTTGGTTGCTACAGGTGGACACACATGTTACTGACTTCTGATTTTCACCCCTTGTGCCTATGTTTTACTGTAAAGTAAAGTTATGGCCTCTGCGAGTTGATTTTCTTGACATTTCACCTGCATTATGTCTCACCAACACTTTCACTTAAATCAGTGGTGTGTTTTTATTGTGTCTCAGTATACTTAGCACTTTCTAATATTCGTATTCTTTCAAAATCATACTTGAAATTAAAATAAAAAGGAATACACTACTTGCATTGTGGGAAAATGTGTAAGTGCATCAAGCTGTAGCTGCCAACAGGAGATGTAGACTACATTGTATAATTTTTTCTTTCATATATAGAATTAAAACAAGCTGCATTGATAATGGAGGGAGGAAGTTCCAGAGACCCAGATATATTAAAGGCCAAACTTGATAATTTAAGAAATGTTTTAACAGCTTCTCATGGGTAAGTCATTTGTATACCTCTCATAAAATAAAGTTTAACCATAAACTTTGTCACAAAATATCCCCAATGATCCACCCTTTACTTACTTACAGTAAAACTGGGACAATAAATGCATATAATCATAGCCACCGTCTACCTTCAGATGGTCATGTGTTTGAGATCTAACTTATTTTAACGACTAAAGAAATTAAATGACATTTCATCTAACTATTCCAAATTGCATTGCTACTCTACTTTGTTATATTCAGGATTAGGTTTTCTGTTTTATAGAAATAAGGACATTGCCTTAAACATACATTATGCAAGAGCTAAATCTGCCTATTGCTTGTCTTTCTTTAGGCCTAAAATGTTATCTAAATTATACATTAATTAACTTATCCAGACCATAATCAACTCTCGATGGCATTGCTAGCCTGCGATGTTTATAGGATTAGGTTCCGATTTGCTGTTCCACTTCTCTTTTATTCATGGATTAGTCTCCATTATTGTGACTTTGTTTTCATTTCTCTACATTACTTAATGTGTCTTGCCCACAGGTATGGTTCATGGGTGTTTGTTCAGGTGTAGTGCGGTCCTGCAGGTAGTGCCTCCTGCAGGACCGCACTATTAAAGTGTTGAGAGCAGCATCCTAATGGGAAATAACCTGTCCTACTTCTGTAGCTAATTTATCATGCTAATTTGATGTCCCCCTTTGTTGGTGTGGTTTGTGTGATATTATAAGATATTATATCTAATTTTCTAGTATAAGAGCATATGGATCAGCAGCTATAAATCTATGTAAGATAGCTAGTGGTATATGTGAAGGATATGTAGAATATGGTATACATTGTTGGGATATTGCAGCTGGTTTATTAATATTACATGAAGCTGGTGGTGTAGTTAAAGATACAACTGGTAAATATTATAAAGCAAGAATTGTGTAGGGACGTGCAGTATTTACTTAATGTCCGTGGGTATATATAAATATTAAAACTTGATCTCTGTTACAAACAAAACATGCTCATATTCTACTGTTACAAAACAAATAATGCTTGTATTCTACTGTTACAAAACAAATACGCTCGTATTCTACCGTTAAAAAACAAATATCGACCACAAGTCCCGACTGCTTGTCTCAACTGTTCTGAATCCTCAAACTTGCAATTTGTCAGTCCTAATAACTGAAGGGGGGGGGGGGGGGGGGGGGTAGCAGAATACGATGCATTCAATCAAGTGGAACATGTTTTGACTGTAGTGATATGATTTATTTTATTCAGTTGAACGCTTTGTGCAGTGGCCCAGTGTTTGTAGGATTGAGAGAATTTAATCTCTTGAAAGTTTAATGAAGTATCAATTCCCATGGATGACATAATGGATGTTATTTATGTGATTTCAGGTGAAGAAGTGGATATCATGAGAAGACGTATAACTGGTGCATGTTCAGTAAATATTGTAAATCAACTTGTACCATTATTAACACAGTTAGATATGGGTAGAGACTGAATCTTTTACACTCAATTCATGGCTAAAGCAACATTCAGATATCACACGACTTTCTGCCATTTATCTATGACAACTGCCTTTTATAAAGATGCATTATGTAAGAGCTAAATCTGGCTATTGCAGGTCTTTTTTCTGGCTTCAAATATTATATAAATTTTTATTTAGAGATTTATTTACATGACAAACCCAAGATATGGATTGGACCATTCGTGCCATTTAATCGGTTTAAAACGTTAAAAATGAAAAATCAAGATTTTGTTTATTATCGTAGCAATCAATCAATGACAATCAAGTGAATCAAGACGACGCTATTCCTGCTAAAACTTCAAACATTCATACATCACTCAGAATAAAGTAATTTGACAAAAATTTACAATATATTCATTTTTCATTATCTATTTTTTAACTATTATAGCGAGAATCTTACATAATGCATCTTTAACCAATCTGATCATTACCTAGGACAATGCCATATGGCAATTTAATGGGTATATTAAATTTTACAGTATCCAGTCAATTCATAGATTGACACAACAAATAAAATTTTGATTATAAAGTAAAATGTTAGATCATCAATAAAATTTTATTAAGAGCACCTCCCCCAGACACATCGTCGTTAAAGTGTCAAAAGGGTGTATCTTGGGAAATTAGTCAAATACACTTTTTTACATCTTTAAAATCTCCTAATTAATATGCACATTTCTGTCTAAGCTGTTGTGTATCTTTATGCCAATTAGAACTATTCTGGGTATCATGTGTCCAAATGTTGTATCTTGATTTGTGGAAATTTTGAAATGCAAAAAGTTCTATTTCTTAATCTTTAGAAATGCAAAAAGTTCTATTTCTTAATCTTTAGAAATGCAAAAAGTTCTATTTCTTAATCTTTAGAAATGCAAAAAGTTCTATTTCTTAATCTTTAGAAATGCAAAAAGTTCTATTTCTTAATCTTTTGAAATTCTTAGATACACCCTATTGACACTTCACCCACGACATACTATTACCGGTAATATATAGAAATAAAACAGCAGTTTTATAAATCACTGTTAATATGTAAATTGTCTTCATGTTGTTCTATTACATCTAGTCAGTTTTAATTTCACAAGATTATGTATGTCTCTTATGATTTTTTAATTGTATATTTATATAGAAATATGAAATCCAATATTTGGTCTTGTTTTATTAGTACTCTTGCCATTGAATTATATTCTCAACTTCTGTTTTTGACATTCACTCCTTGTTGTTGGTAGTCACGGTAGGCCTAGGTCAGTTGGCCATATTTGACGAAATTTTACTGGATAATCTACCACATAAAAAAACTAACTCCCGGTTACGCTTGGGCAATGGAACATTTTAGCTAATGTCAAGAAAGAGTTGCGCCCCTTCCCAATTTAATTCCCATAATTCATGCGTTAATATACTTATAAGAATAAGGATTAATAAAAACCATAGATATGATCTTTGAGAGATATGTTTGAGGCGAGTAGGATGTTTAACATGCAATGCAAAAAGAATTTTCTGAAATGACAATTCCTAAATTAATTTTATAAGCAGCAACATTTTGTTCTAGGACTATATATTTACCCCCCTTATTACGCTCTCTAACTGAAAAACGTAGATTTCGTACATGATAACATAAAAGACCAGATAATCGAGCCAATGACCAAGATATGCTCACTAGTATTCGTAGAAAATTGGTCTGAATGATAGAGACTATTATGTTGTTGGCGAATAAGCAAAACGGAAGCTAGTCCCAAGACTTCGAACTTTCTGATTGGTCAGTGAGATTAAAAATAGCAGACAATCATAATGTATTCTGAAAGATTGAACATTTGTGGGTATGAGAATGTTGAATAACTTTATAAACATACTTTATACAAGTAAACATATTCATGTTAAACCTTACATATATTTCACTTCAGTTTTTATATGAATCTTGTCTCACACTTTATAGCAATCCCTTAAAAATGCACTATATTGAGCAGAAGTTTGTTATTTACATGTCACTATTTCAGAAAGCCAACTGTTTTACGCTTATTTCCACTTTTTTCTTCTTCTTCTAATACATTCAATAAACTAGTATTTAATACCTGACCTATCTTCTTGCCAGTCTATAATAATAAATACATTTCTATTACAAGTTTAAGTTCCCATGCAAAACATTCAGTAAGAAGATATACACTAAAACAGTCAATTTTAATTGAACCATATTATGTAGATCAGGATGGCCAACCTTTTACATAAACATACGTCAATTTGTTTACACACAGATTCAGATGCACCATACAACTCTTGTAAACCCGTCTTTCCTACTTGGGGGATCATGTGGCTAAGTGGGTAAGACGCTAGCCTGGAGGTCGGGTGTTCGATCCAGATTTTCCGGCGTGGTTTCCCCTTGTCAGTGATGCAGGACAGAGGGCCTGACAAGGACAGCTGTCTCGTCGTTCGGATGGATCGAAACCGAGGTTCCGTGTACATATTGGCATGCAGGTAAAAGATCCCATGGCAGTTGGAATTCGATATAAGAGTAGGTCGTAGTGCTGCTGCCCAGGCAAAATTTCCCTCATAGCACACTGTATGGCGTCTTCATTAGCCCAGTTTAGGAGCAGAACAGTAGGACGTTTAACCCCATTTCATTTGTCTTTCCTACTTTGATTCATTAAGCATGGTTTTAAACACAGTTTAATCTAAACGAAGAAGATAACATTTGCTAAAAAGGATGTGCATAAAATAATAAAATCGCCGGTAGTTGGGAATCCCTGATTTAGAGGACTGCAAGAAATCAACTGTTTTGGTGATGGGTATTTCTTATGCCTGCTTATAATGAAAGCATATTTCAAGAAAAATGCATATTTCAACTAAAATCTGCTCATCATAATGTGGCTCTGGTTATTTTTTAGATGTAACAATTCATGAATATACTACTACAAAAAAAAAACCCCAAAAACATGAAATTAAAACAAATGTATTTACCTCCATCATATCAAATATACTTTCTGGATTTAAACTACCCCAACCTTCTTTCTTTAAAGCTGATATTGTTCCCTTAGCTGTCACACCCATCATTAATCTGTTTAAATAAATAGAGAAAACTATTATTCAAATTCCTAATGGTATTTAGTGTCTGGTCAACTCTTTAATAGATCATACTTAGACTAACCCATTTTATTTTCTATTTGAGTTGGAGGGTCACGGTGGGTAAGATGCTGGCTCGCTAGCCTGGAGGTTGGGTGTTCGATCCCTGCATTGGCTGAGATAGTTAATCCAGATTTTCTGGCATGGTTCTCCCTTGTCAGTGATGCAGGACGGAGGGTCTGACAAGAGAGCTGTCTAGTCATGCAGATGGTTCGAAAAACCGAGGTCCTGTGTACACATTGGCATGCACTTAACAGATCCCTTGACAGTTGGAAATCGTAGGCCGTAGTGCCGCTGTCCTTGCAAAACTTCCCTCATAGCACACTGTATGGTGTATGCCCATTTTCATTAGTTCAGTTTGGAGCAGAACAGTAGGACGTTAAACCCCTTTTCATTTCATTTCATTTCTTTGAATTGCAACTGTCAAGTTTCTTTTTTTATGATGAAAGGACTGTGTGGCTAAATGACTTACTACAAACATAACATTTGAAGGTTCTACATTTATCTCGTCATATGTTAAAGACCAAAGTTTGTTTACAAGCAGTACCAGTTACTTTACTCTAAGCTGAATACAAGTTCATATACAAACAGTAACTAATTATTATCTTGTTCTACAGACCAAAGCACAGATTTTGTAGTTCCTTTCATCTCATTTTATTTCTGTACAATTATTAGATGTATTTCACAGGGTAATTATCATTCGCGAAAGAATGGACTTAAAAATTAAGCAGACAGATTGATGATCACCAATTCCTGATAACAATGGGTCAATTTAGAATTTTAGAGTATGTACATTGCATTTGATGAAAGCCATATCCAATCTTTCTCCTTTCTGATCGATGCCAAGATACAATTATTTCTGTGGATAGCAGGTACTATTTATTTCTACATGTATCATTATAATCCAAATCTTGTATAGTAGGCTAAAGATGTTTCCTGATACCAGAAGTATGAATTTAGAAACATAAATGGGGAATATTTTATACCTGGAAAGCAAGGATACACTTACCTTGCTAAACAACAAGTTTCTTCTTTCTGACTAGCATCAACAACATGATAATGTCCAATCTGTAATAAAACATACTATAACAATATTTTTAGCAAAACTTTGTACATAGGTATTAAATGGTTGCCTGTAACAATACCAGTGAAGTTCCATTAGTCAAAAAGGAAGGGAACATAAATCAAGCGAGCTGTGCATTGTATAAAGATAAATGTGCAAGTACCGGTAATTAATTTTGGTATTAGTGATGATATGAACCTAAATGTTGGCTTGTTATTTTAATAATTTGTCCGCACAAAAGAGTCTTGTGTGGAAAAAAACTGGACTGCCTGGAGAAAATGCACATGGTTAAGCAGTTGACCCTACTCCTTGTTAGGTACAAGTATAAGACTGGGGAAAATCCTATCATGGCAGGATTGTCGGCAGCTGCTAGTAGTAGTAATAAGTAAAATCTTTGCCATGTACGGTCACGGATATAGAAATTTAAATTAAACCAAGAAGACATGTGACATAAACACGATCACTGCCCTAGATGTTTGTAACAAACAGTGAACTCAAAGTAATAATCTGCATTTTGCACCAAATCATTTATAATCATACCTTACTCAGTGTAACAATACAAGGTGATGAAGATATATCTAATCTTTTAACATCATATGGATCATCAGATAATTCTATTTCCATTTCATCATCTTCTTGATTAACTGTTACATTAGGTATTCTACAAAACCCATATATTTTATTATCTTTTTCTATAGAGAATCTCTAACTTAAATAAAAACCAAAAGATGATAGTTCAAGATGGTGGACAGATAGTGTGACTTTTAAATTATAATTAAATATATTTTTCAACAAATAAGGCCACGATGTGCATTTAAAATCAAAATAAACTGTGAGCTAGTACTGTTGTTGTTATTTGTTATCCACCTATGATATTAAAACTTGTTTGGTAATCTAATATTGCAAATAAATAACAGATATTGAATGAACTGTATGCAGTTGAAATTTGATGATGGTATCTCCTCAAGCTATACATACATTATGCACTTACCTTGTATTATATAGAGCAGCTTTAACCCCTATAGAAGCTGCATCAAATAAATTCCCACCACATTCTAATAACTGAAACAATATTATAATTAAATCAAAATCTCTTCTTGGCAAAAACTGTCTTATAGTTAGGTAAGGGACTCACAATTCTGAATCTGAAGGCATATCAGATTTTGGCAAAGACAAAAGCTCTTCGAGATATTTCAAGTCAGGTCTGATTGTTTAGAGGTGATGCTTTCTAAGGATTTAGATGGGATGAATAACACGGGTCCTGTGTGCACAGTCCCTGGCAATTTGAATTTGAAGTGGTGTTGCACAAGTAAAGAATTATGTTAGTCTAATGATGACATAATCACATTGTTGAAGACATGTTAAACACATTCCATTATTCTAATATAAAGAGTAGAAAGAAATGTTCTCCAGCATAAATAGGTCAACAGTTCAATTCTCTAAACCTTTTTTTTTCTGGAAAGTATGATATTTGTAATGAAGAGGAAAAGTAAAATTATACACTTAAATTGTATTATATTATAGATCATTACCAACAGAGTCTGCCACTGACACGTTACCTGATCATGGTAAAGGAATTAAAATTTGTAGACGGTCACAAAAATTTTCACTTAAAGTAGCTACATGTAAGTCTCTCACTCAAAATCATCCAAAGTCTTTGTCAATTTAAATCAACACTGATGTTGTGATCTTACCGGGAAAAGATGGGCTTCTGATATCCAATATTTAAGACAACATTTTACCTTTGGTACACGATAATGCGTTTCAGATTCATTTGTTACATGGGACTCGAAGAACGAGGTTAGACATATTCCAGAAGTCATATCAAACGGTGACGCCATTTTCTTATCTGGAGAGCATGCGCAATAAATACTATCGCTGTAGACTGGAATAAACAGACGCTAGAGATTGTCTTTCGATTGAGACTTCTGGTGTATTTCGTCGAACATAACTGATTAGAAATTAGAGTAAAAACAGTAATCAGTTTATATATAATCTTCAAAAAAAGTAGGAGATATTGAAGTGCAAATACCTATGCAGGTTGTGATATGATAAATAGTCATGGACACTTGACATGCTTTGAGAGTATGTTCACATATGAAGAACTTATCGCCCCAACAGAACCACTGAGCTGCACATGCGACACACAATAGCACCATACATGTACACGTGGGAGGGGTTCCTTGTCAAATTTGACACTTCAAGGAAGGGTTGATGAAAACTGTCGCGTGCTGGTTTATCTATCCATGTTTGTTTTCCTATCGGTTCTTGCCTAAGATTTACTGTTTAGTGTATCTTTGCTTAAGTGTGTTACGTTTAATTTGATCGGGAGACGTGTTCATCGACGGCAACATCAACCGACAACACTGCAAGAATTGGCCGTGGCAATTGGCCTGTTATTAACATACACTGGTTACCTCTAATAAAAACAGCAGTGCATTTCCGCAGTTTTGAATCGTTTTTGAATATCCCTAACTTGTTTTGAATAGTGTATATTCAAATTACATTATTATATACGTTGCGACCATGGGTTCCACGTTTGCCGTATATGCCAGTCGGGACCGAGGGCTATGGAAAATGACCGTAACTAGATCTGACCCATCGGTCATTTTGCACTCCGGAAAAATAACCTTTTCTCACAACCAAATTTTCAAACATGGCTACGATCGACCTCCACTATGTAGCTGTGAAGTTAGTTATCTGTTAGTTATTTAGTTATTATTAAGATTTACGTCACAATTCTGCGGTCCGTAATGCCGTAAGAGATGATCTAAAACCAATAAATGTGAGATAATTATATATTTATCTTCATATCAAAGTTATTGTATTACATCTCATAATTATCCAGGTCAGTGTGTTTTCTATAGAGCACGTGGTAATTACGTGTTGGCCACTGGAATGGTTTATCTATAGCCAATTCAGCTATTTCGATTATTTAAGTAGCCAAAAAGGAATATTTAATTAATAAATAATTATCATAAGCCTTACTAATATTTCATTTTTAAGTCCAGTATATATTTTTTTGTATACCCCATGCTGACAAAGAGGTATACACACGTGAATTCACAATACCCTACCATGAATAAAAAACATGAAATACGAATTTACTTTGCAAAGTTTTCGTGCATTACCAAAAATGACCAGTAGTGAAAATTTTGAAGTGGAAGCTCCTTTAAGTATCTCTGAGATAGACAACGAATATATATTCCCAAGTAGGTTGGATAAGTTTTCTAATCCGGGGTAATCTATTTCAGATCAGGAATTTCAAGGAACTATATCTTTAACAGTTAGGTTACATTTAAAAAGAATTGTTGAAACATCATGCTATATATGTACTAACCAGTGAGTTATGTTGTTACATTGTGGTCAATCGCTAAATGCCACTCAAAGATTATACTAGGTTATATTAGTTATAAATAATGTCAGATTTATAAAACATTCCTTGACCTTCATTTATAAACTATATAATGTTGATAATAACATATACTCACCAATACATCTATATAAAGAATCCAGCATTGTTGTTTGGGAATAATACATAAAGATTTTAAATCTAAACAACCAGAATTATCATAACATCTAGATAAAACAGTACTTATTTCTGTAGCTAACTCTTCACCACCACGTCCTTCAAATTCTGGTGTAGCATTAGCTGAACTAAAGATAGTAAAAACATAATAAATAACCAAATGTGTTAAGGGAAACGACTGTATCCATGATCAACAACAATTGTTGATCTAGATATCATTATCTTTAAACCTGTCCAAAACAGAAGTACATGAGAAAATGGAAAAGAGTGGTACACTCCATAGGTTTGTGATGAACAAACAAGCAGTTGCCATGCAAGATAAGCCCATATTTTGCAATCAGGAGCCATAATCCAGGATGCTAGGGTTCAACATGCGTCAATATCAAAAAGAAACCAAGATTTTTGGGATAAAAACAAATGTTTTAAGTTTCACCAAAATCAGATAAGAATTGTGATCTCTAGATGGTCCACAAGCTAAAAACTTGATTTTTCGTACAATCATCAGGGTGTAACGGTGATATATTTTAACGGTTTTTAAAATTGGATATCAATTGTGACCTCTAGAGGTTTCACAAGCTAAAGACGCGATTTTTCAAACAATCAGGGACCATGATCCACAAAGTTACGATTTGATAAGCACTAATATCGAAAGGAACCGAGATCTTTGGGACGGCCAGCGGCGACAACAATATATGTCCACATTAAAATGTGTGAGTATAAAAATTATGCAACAAATTAGTATAAATATATATACAAGACCAGAAAAAAAATTCTATTACATGCTTCCCCACAGACTTTAGTGTTAGCAAGACGGTGGCAGGGAACAGCAGGCTTTACATAACTAATTGATTGTGGTTATCACCATGACTCCATTAGGCAAATCCACTATTATTTCAACTCTTTTTGATAATTTACTATTCTTTACACTAAAGTGTCATTTTAATTTAAAATCTTAGCGTTTTTGTGTGATTGTGATGTGATTTCCACGCAAGTTTGGAAGTAGTAATAAGGGTTATAAATGGTGTAATGGTTATGACTTCCAAACTTGCTTGAAAATCACATTTTGAGGGCCATTTTGACACAAAAACACTATGATTTTAAATAAATAATGAAAATTTGGCAAAAAGAATGGTATATTATCAAATATTGATATAAAATTATAGTGATATGAGTTGAAAAAGTGGTGGATTTGGGTAAAACATGGCTTGATCATTTTGAAGAATATTAATTTTCATTTAAAAAATAGACCAACTTACCAATCAACAAAGAATTCTATACTTCCAGAATCTGGTTTTTCTGGAGATGGAACGCCCAACTCTGCTTTTACGCCAACTAATATATCCGTATTAGCCTGTAAAAAGAAATGGGGGAAAAAATAAAATGTACTAAAGGGCAAAGGCAACTTCATTATTTCCTGCCTACGCAGAAAATGATAGTTCCAGCAAATTATGCATCATTACATTGGATCAGCTGGATTAAAGAGGTCCCCTAAAGTCTAATCATTTTAAAGCAGGTGTTATAGCTTTTAAAAGTGACCATAAAGTGAATATATACGTACCACATATTACATGTACATATTACATGTACTTTTGAAAGTGAATTGAACATACAAAGAGAAACAAACAGATGGGCGCTTACCTGAGTAGGGCAGTTATTATGTTAAATTGGTCTACATAATTAACCAGATCATATGTAACTAATCCCTGATTTTTATTTTCACATTATATCAAGTACTTACCAGTCTTAATCTTGCAGAACCTGACGTATTTGATACAACACCTGTTTCTATTTCCATATGACGATAATCTTCACATCCTCTACCATCTTCTCTACATGGAAATTTGTCCTTAAAAATTATGGTGGGAAATGTTACAGAAAGAGGTAAAGTGGGACAATGAAATATCTGGAACATTGTATACATGTTGGTGGTCAAATTGACTTATATGTACCACTCTGCATCATTATATTTCAAAGATTAATCTTTAGCAATGGATGATATACATGGACAGGTGTAAACTGGAACAGCCTTTCACTGAAGGTGGGATAACATTTGGGACCAGTAACACGAGAACGAGAACAGTAATATTAATAGACATGGATGCTATGACATCTCAAATAATATAATATGGATATTACTGTCACCGATACTTTGAACTAATATGGACATTTCTGATACTTATGAGAAAATGGGGATCACAGTGGCTAAGTGGGTAAGATGCTGGCTCGCTAGCCTGGAGGTCGAGTGTTCGATCCCTGCATTGGCCAAGAAAGTGCATCCAGATTTTCCAGCATGGTTCCCTCTTGTCAGTGATGCAGGACGGAGGGCCTGACAAGGACAACTGTCTAGTCATTCGGAAGTGACAGAAAAAAACGAGGTCCCATGTACACATTGGCGTGCACATAAAAGATCCCTTGCCACTCACTGTGTGTAGGGCATAATATAACCCCTTGGAGGTATTTTCCCCAACCTTTTCTTAGAACATAGTACATAGTTCTTCGTCACTTTGTCAAATTAATTACACAATAGGGGGTAGTTAACGTTTTAAAAACGTCACGCTTAACAGGTTGATAAAACAACACATTCTTATGTTTTTTTTCTTTCTTTTTTTATGTATAGCTGATTAATAAATAATAATCCTTAACAACTTTACTCTTTTTTTAATAGTTCTGAAAAAAAAACCGGAAAGAAATGGAAGATCAAAGTATTAGCTTGATAAACGTTGCAAGAATACTCTCTGAAACATCGCCCAAATAAATAAGTAGCTGTTTTTCCATAAGTATGTGTTTTTGTGTATTGTTCTATCCAGTTACTAAATGCCTCTAAAAGATTAACATTGATGTTGTTATCTTACTATGAAAAGATGGGCTTCTGATATCCAATATTTGAGACAAAATGAAAATCTTAAAATTGGCACACCAATCGCTGCCAGAATGCTTTTGAGTGCCTTTGGTAATGAAGCAACTCGATGAATGAGGTTAAACATATCCCACAGGAGATTACTGCCGGTATAGACTGGAATAACTTAACCAGACGCCAAAGACTGCCATTCAGTTTGGACTCTTTGCGTATTTCGCCGAATATAACTGATTAGAAATTACTGTAAAAACAGAAATGAGTGAGTGTAAATCAGTTTATATACATTTATATTTCCGGTACATTATTATTAGCTACGATCTGATGTGCTTGTTTTAGCTACGATCTGGTGCCTTTAGTTTCACCTGGCAAACTTAATTTCATTATCAATGCATGTAGCACCTCATCTACATTGTTACCTGTATATGCGACCCATTTGTGTCCATTTCTAATTGCCAACAATCTGATTAAATCACAGATCCTATTTCGTATCGTTTCATTTTTTTAAAGTTCAAAATTTCATTGTCTTTACTACACTAGGATCTGGAAGAGTTGTTATATAACCTGAGGGATTAGTCAATGAAACGGTCTGTTACAGCGAGTTTTGGATTGAGATGCACGGAACTGTGGGTATCCTACTAGAAATATCAACTTAGTGATTGGTTAATCAAATGTCCAATGTCATATGGTCAAAAGCCGCTTGTATGACCACCTACGTATACTCCCACGGAAGCAGGTTGTTTCATCCCACTACCGGTTCACCCCGGGCTATTTCATCTGGGCTGTTTCATCCCAAATTTACACGAGTCCTTTCATCCCACTTATATCGAGTCGTTTCATCCCACAAATTTAAAAACCGGTATTACATGAATTTTTAATATTTTATTTATACATTAATACCAATAACAATATGTCAATGCAATTTTTATCATGATTAGTTGGTTTCACTATAACAGGATTGCCAGTGATAGAACAGATCAAAGAATAAAATTGCACGTAGCCACTATTTCAACACGTGTTATCTTGAGATGTTCAGACTACCTGGCACCTCAAATGACCCAACATTAAAAGAAAGCATGCAATGTCCACCTTACAACAAGTTCCATTGATTTACGATTTATTTTATCATTTATCACACAGTTTAGACTATAATGTGTTACGATTCACATTTTGGTATTCTAAATGAATTCTTATATTTGGAATTGTTTAGTTTCATTTCGTGTACGGAAATTAAATCAACGATTAGTTTTAAAATTAATTATCAATCTAATTTGTCTTATTTAAAAGGGGCTCCTGCGCAATTTAGTTGATTATTTGATAATATGTATAGAGCCCATGATGTATTTTGGCGAGTGATTAAGCTGTCAATATGTAATTATAAAATTTAATAAAGAAGATAAATGATGTTAGACATCATAAACTAACAAACAATACATACGGGTATACTTTATTACAAAAACATCGGTGAACTAATCTAAAATCATAACGGCAATTAACTAACAATACGAATAAACAATACGAATATACAGCGGTGAACTAATCTCAGTCGTGATCGGTAATCAACAAAAATCGACGAGTAAAACTTATTCATTCCATACATTATTGTTTATTTAACAAAAAAGTAAGTGTTTAACAGTTTATTTAACGATAAGTACAACTCAGTTAATTGACTGTTATTATAATAACAATGGGGATGAAACAGCCCGGGATGAAACAGCCCGATAAAAAATTACGTTGGGATGAAACAGCTCGGGGTGAAACGGTTATGGGATGAACTCCCACTACAACTGGTCAGATCTTCATGTAGTAGAGGCCATCAAAAGTATAGAAAAATGAAATGAAATATTGATCTGTATTTTAATCAGATAATTGAATTTAATTTCTATTGCTACTTTATTTAATTTCTTTAAAGTTGTTTTGGGTAAATCTATGAATTCGGCAGGAAGCGATTGGCGCTTTGATTAGTTTTGATTAGTGAAAGTGATAATAATATTGCATGGAAATGTAGGCCTAATCAATTCAAAGGCTGGGCGAGCGACTGTTTTTACAATTCAATAATACTATTAATACTAATAGTAATAATAGTAATAACAGGAATATAGATCGTGACTTTTATGGATAATTACCTGTATACCATGAAGTATAAAAGTTTTTTCTGCCTCACTATAGTTAATATCAGCCATTGTTAATAAAATTTTAAAAAATTAAATTCTGAATTTGAAAAGAAATGTAAAAAATAATTGTTCTTTTCTAAATTTCCATGCTTTCTACAGACCGGAAATGCGATGTACGTCATCGAACAATGTGTGTGCTAAACGTCATCATGGATCATGTACACATTCGATAAATGGATTCTGATATTGTAGCATGAAAGTGTTCTACCAAGAATGAACAAATTATTTTACTACGTCGAATAACCAATAATTCTAAGGTTAAGCATGGAAAGTTTCGGAGAGACTAGGCCTAACACGTAATATGATTGTTATTTTTTTTTTATCAAATAGGCTAGTCAATCCTAGCTTTTCTCTGAGATGTGGTGTAGTAGCATGTGCCAACCAAAATTCAATTTTTGAGCTACAGACCTGAAATTTTGCACACAGTTAGAAAAACACCTGAGAATCATTAATCTTTTTCAATTATGACAATCGGTTGATAACTTTGTTTTTTGTAGCTAATTTTATATACCCATACGTAAGCAGCGTTTTCCCAAAATCCGTCAAAAACAGGCAAAATTGAAAAAATAATATTTTGACTAACTGAATGACTTTGGAACAGACTCAAATTGTACACAGATGTTCTAGAGACACACATTTACTAAAATCAACCACAAAAATATTGTTTTTACCTTTTATTTTGACAAAATTGAAAGCAAATCGGACATATTTTGTTCCGAAAAAACATAAAAATAATAACTATAAAAAAAAATCATTAAAAATAGTGGAAATTGTTTTTTGATGATTAAATGGAAACTGGAAACATGTTCTCATGGACAGCTATGAAATATCCATGTTCTCGTGGACAGCTATGAAATATCCATGTTCTCGTGGACAGCTATGAGTATGAAATATCAAAAAATAAAATTATCAAAATAAATGCACTGAATCATAACTAACAAAACTCCAGAATTGAAGTTTTCAGTATAAAAATATAAAAAAACACAACAATTCAGCTAAATATCTACAAAATATTCTGCATATACTGAAAAAGTTTTGTAAATATGATTAAACAATACTGATAAAATGAAGGAAAACAGGCTGGAATACATGATACATGAGTTAATAATACATGAGTTAATATTAATAATCTAATATACCGTATGTTAAATAATAAAAATATTGAGACAAACAAGATGAAAAACAAGGTATAAAGAAGTTAACTACAGGTATTTAAGTTGTCAATCATAAAGTCAAGTTAACAGTACTACCGGTAATGAAAAGAGTAACACTGTAAAAACTTCAGAACAGAAACAGGTGAAAAACAGTTATAAATAAGTTGACAGTAATAAATATATGTTAGCTATATTAATAATATTAGTATAAAGTAATAATGGAAAAAGTAACTTTATATAAATAAGTCAATAATATTAGTTAAAAGTTATGGAAAAAAAGGTAAGAAAAAAACAGAACTACTAGTAGACCTATCCATTTCTCAATAATTAAAAAAAAAACCTAAAAATAAAAATATAGAAAAGTACTCCTTATTTCTTTTTTTTATTGGGCTTTATTATACCATACAATTCTGAGCTATGTTTGTTTTCGTAAAAAAATCAACTGCACAGTCTTAGAAAGTTAAAATTCTTCCTATAATCACTCATTATTAGCACGTGTGTAACTAACGGGTGTCTAACGGTACATTTGACACGCCCCCGCCATTACAATATGGCCGACAGAATTTCGGTCACGTGGAGAAAATTTGAATTTTACCAATGTTCACGTCCACTTATGGAAATAAATGAAGATGGATCTTATAAAGGGATATTTAATCCATATTTGAGCAGGTTTTTTTTCGCTCCGCATCTTCCACGAAAAAAGTTACAAAATTTCAAACTTTTCAATCGGAGAAAAAAAATATTCTTACCTTGCTACGAGTGATAAATTTTGCATGCGGAGCAACCCTGACCTCTTAACTAACTGTTTTCGGTTGAATGGAACCGGTATCGATTGCAGGTAACCAACACGAGGCCGTAATGCAAGGCTAGCTTTTCGCGAAAAAATAGCGCCATATTTGTGACAGCCAATTAAGAAAAAAGAGTTACGTCCCTTTTTCGGTTGGCACACGCTAGGTGTAGTTTTATGCCATTTACTTTTAGCCTAACGCCATAACAGACTAGGCCCAAGGCCTACCCATAGCTAACTTAGTGAGTAAGCCTAGGGCAAGATATCTGGGCCCTGTTTCACGAAATTTTAATTAAAGATAAAATCCAAATTTTAGTAGATACTTCAATTTTGATTGACTAAGCACTAAAATCAATCTAATATTATCCAATCAAATTACTAAAATTTGGATTTTATCTTAGTTAAAATTTCGTGAAACCGGCCCCAGAAACATTGTAAACACTTTTAATTTTAAGTTTTTAAGTCACAGTTTAAAGACAATAATTTTCAAGCAAACATATGATTACCAAATATATGCCTAGCACTCTTTAGCAGTTTACTGTAAAGAATTGCTCTCAACAAATTCATAATTTAGAAGAAAAAAGACAGGTCAAAAAAATTAATATCTTTACAAAAACATATTGTATTGTCAATCATTATTTTTCCACATTGACCCAATACCAAATTTCTCTTTTCATAACCGTTTTGATGGTTGACGCAAGAGTAAGGTCATTCATGGTGGATGTGACTCCGTCCCAGTCCCATTCAAGATCCTATCACTACCCCTGACTGTATAAAAGGGTATTTCTGATTTCATTGCACAGTGTCTGTGTCAGTTAGGCTGCATTTTCTGCATTCTCTTCTAATGACTATGTATTTTACTTTTCAGAGATAATTATAATGATGCTGAAAATGGTCAATTAATTCAAAAACAAAAGAAATCTACACCTGTTCCAGATGGCATTAAAATTATTGATTGTCGACCTATCTTTCGGCGATTTGGTATCCGAAATTTACCATTTCACTATGTATGGTTTGTGACAGATGTGTGTGGTATAGTGTGTGCTGTTTTAACATGGCTGTTGATTTTATATTCTCAATATGTAGTCATGTTTATCATGTTGTTACCAAACCCTTCAATGACCTACACCACATTTCATGCCACCATCTTTTTCTTCTTCTCATTTCTTGCCGCCTCTTCACATCTACGTACAATGTTTTCAGATCCTGTAAGTAATAATTCATTATTTTACATGTATATAATTGTTTGACACCCCTTGACATAGACATTATGAAATTCTTGGTCTTAAGATACAATGAATGCATAAGAATTATACAAATATTTATGGGTACTACTGTATATTATGCAAATGGGTGTGTCAAGACAAAAGCTGTTATAGTGAGCTATAATTGTCTCAAAATAGAAAAGGTTTAATGTCTCTTTAAGGTTTTGAGACAAACTTATGGGTTTTTTTTTCTACGTTTACATGTTTCTTCAATTTCTATTCTAAGGGTTCTTTTAATGTGCACAGAGTTTAACCTTGGTTTTACCATCTCCTCTGAATTACTTGACTAGTCTAAATATTATTCTTGGCCAAGTGTCGAAAATTAAAACTGTGACATTCTAGTTAAATAGATAAAAGTCCAGTTGCATAACTGCTCTACTACCGTTCTAGAGTTTTATATAGAAATTTCCACCATGAGTATTCATGATATGTGATTGAAATGAATTTGTTAATTTTGCACAGGGTGCCATACCGAAAGGTAATGCTACTAGAGAAAATATATTACGATTAGGTTTAAAAGAAGGTCAAGTTGTGTATAAATGTCCTAAGTGTATTAGTATCAAACCAGAAAGAGCACATCATTGTAGGTAAGTATATTGTTGAAATATGAAATAACAGTTACACTTATTTCTAATATTTCCTACTGACATTTTCTATGTTCAAGAATGTGAAGCTTTGATATAGATTTGAAATTAAAATTAAATGTACATATCTATTACTCTTTGTTAATTTCCAAATGTAAGCTTATCAAGAACTATTTAATTTATACTTAATATTTCATGTATTTTTAGTGTTTGTCAGAGGTGTATTAGAAAAATGGACCACCATTGTCCGTGGGTAAATAATTGTGTTGGTGAAAACAACCAAAAATATTTCGTTTTATTTACAGTAAGTTGTTCAGTCATTTTCTCTCTATCTATCCGTAACATAAGACCATACAAAAGCCATATTCTGGTTCTCATGCGATTCTTCCAAAAATTTGGATGGCTGGGGTTTTTTTTTTAAAAAAAGATTTTTGTTTTTATTTTGTCAAAGGATTACTGGGTTAGATAACTTCTCACAAATATCACATTTCATTGTTCTAGGTTAATCTCTTTATCTGTTTATTCACACTGTTTACAGGAATTCATTTGCTCTAAAAGACATTTAAAATTAAGCGGCTGAATGGATGGTAGCCATTTCCAGAGTCAGCTTACTATTGACCATTAAATTAAAAAAGTGCATGGTATGAAATGAAATGGTTTTTAGCAGCCTACTTTTCTGCACCAACCCGGGCTAATGAAGCCAGGCATACATGTACGTCATATGCAGTATGCAATGAGGGAAATATTGCAGAAAACACCAGTGTTTTTGCTTACTCTTCAGTGAATTCCAAGTTTCTTTTATGTGCATCCCAATCAAGTTGAAGGCCTTGTGTCCGAACAAGGGGAAATCAGGATGAGAAATTTTGCCCATGGGACATCCTGGTTAGTGGGGTAACACCTGACTGATCCACCGTGGCTCCCATGCAATTGGCAGTCAGGCAGACCAAAAGAAATTATTTTTCTTGTTATTAATTAATTATGTCCTTTTTTTTCTTCAGTAATTATTTTTCATAATCTGTATTTTTTTAAATTTCAGTTTTATATTTGTTTTATATCTATATACTCATTATATCTTTCCATCAACCATTTTGTTACATGTCTAGGAAGAGAATGGAAAGGTTTGTATATTGTAGAAACATTTTTTTTTTTATCAATTTAACTCATTGTTGGGGTTTAGTAGATAATAGAAAATAATCATTAGCTTGAAAAAGTGGAAAACGTTACCTGTATGTGTTATGAAACATTGTATTAAATAACAGAGAAGTATTTATATCCATGTGTTGTGTTTTATTGTGAATATGAAAATGGTCAGTATGGAAATAAAATATTGAAAAAAAATTACTATAAACTTTATTTTATAAGAAAATAACTTTATTTTATAAATTATTAATATATTAAGAAAAAAATACAATGACTCCCCTAAATGCCTGTTTTAAACATTGCGGACATCTTTAATCCAATTTTGATACACAGTGTCAACATTTAACGTGAATGGTTATTGTCACCACTTGTGCCTGGTATCTTGTCTTTTTTGTTGAATAGGCCAATTTCAGAATTTTTGGACTGAAAGATTTGAACAGATTTTGCATCTTTTTTTTAAAAAAAATTCAAATACTAGTGACTAGATATTGTATCCTCTGATTGTTCCATATGTGTACTGGTCAATTCAGAACAAATATTGAAAGCAACCTAGTTCTAACACTTACATTTTAACCAACATTTGTTTCTGACTATCATGGTGAAAATGCATGTAAAATTAGGGTTTATACACCCACATTGAAATGTGGTCATATAGTGTGTTGTAAATGTTTTCATAATTGACAAAATTTAAAAATATGCAGCAAACCTTGTTGACTGTCTGGACAACTTAGCTGCTGTGGGTGTATGTTTTGTTGCCTGGTAGCCTATCTTTATTGAATATATTATTTATTTTTTAGGTTGTTCCGGTGCTTCACCACCAGCTACAACAGTCTTTCTTATATTTCTGATTTTTGAAGGTCTATTATTTGGTATATTTACAGCTATTATGTGTGCCACACAATTATCCTCTATCTGTACAGATGAAACAGTATGTTTTCTTTCATTCATTTATATCCCTTTGTAAGGTGGGGGTGGCCAAATGGTCTAACAAGAGCTGTTTAGATCATAAGGTCTGTCATTGAGTCAAGTAGCATAGTTTCAATTCCCAGCTTGTAAGTGACAAGGAGTAGGGTCGCCTGTCCAACCTAGTGTGGAATTCTTTTCGAATCCTCTGATCTCCAGTACACGCAACACGGGTGTGTTGAGATACTCATAGGGTTAAAAAAAGGTTCACCGAGTAATGTTTATATATTCTTGAAGGAGACATGGTGGCTTCAAAAAATGGTATACATAAAAAAAATCGAATGAGCCCTTTCCTAGAAATGAATAAAATTTCAAAATACCCTAAAAATAGTAAAATTCGGAGACAAAATGCTCAATTTGTATCAATAAAAGTGCATATATCTAGTATATATTTTATGAGAGGCTTAAACATTATTAACAATGTCGCGAACAGTATGTTACTTCATAAATTGCACAATTACAAATTCTGGACGGCATTGGGTTAGACCTGGTACCCACGGAAAGCAACACATCTTGAGAGACTTCAAAAGGCTCTGGTAGATCGTCGATATTGGTCTCCCCTTTTCAATTTTCGAGATTAGAATTCAACATCGTCCACATATTGCTGAGGGGAATTGATATAGTATCTTTTGATGCGATCCAATATTTTCTCTCCTGCAATATTTGACATACTCAAACCTTTTCAAAAACACGCAATACATACTTTGTATCTATTTTCCTCCTGAGATAGCACGTCTTCCAGCATATCTGACAGTAGTCATTAAAATTAAAAAGTTGGGCTTGTTATTATATAAATGTATAAAATGTAATACTGCAAACAATTATGTATAAGTTAGGTCAGCCAGGAAACTTCTGTGATACTCACGCAAGCCAGGAAACTTTTATATTAACCTGGTGAAGAAGCTATTTTTGGAGAGCAGATTCCGCACCTTTATATAGGCCGCGCCTAGCTGTAGCTCTCATATGACATTATAGTTGAACAGGGTTGTCAGTCCGGAATATTTTATGATATCAACAATTATTATTCCGCATCCCAAAAATCGGACCAGACGTTGACGTTGAAAATTCAAGGAATCAATTATATATGAATTAACAATTCCGATTGTGATATGATATCAAATTTATTTTGGTCAAGTATCCCTAAGAATTGACTCTCCGGTAGATAATATCGATTTTGGACAAATAGAATCCTTTTTTGAAATGGACTCTGTGTATTCATTATAGTAAAATTATACTTTTTTACCTTTATCCACTTTAATAGAAAAGGGCTCATTTGATTTTTTTTATGTATACCATTTTTTGAAGCCACCCATGTCGTGAACTTTTTTTTAACCCTTCCCCACGCACCCGTGGCAAGCAAATTGTTGAAATAAAATTAAACCATATGTTAGTACAGAAAAAACCTAGTTAGTGTCGAGTTGATGTTAAACCCATTTTCCTCTCTATACAATATCCTTTAAGAGTCTACATCTTGGTTCAAGAATGCTGAGGTAGACTGTTTACTCCAGTCAATAATGAACACCTGCAGAACAACAAAACTATTATATGCAATCCAGCATAAAAGAAGATAGTTTTGATCATATAATATTTAACATAAATATTTTCTCTTTCATCACCAGGCTATAGAGCAATTAAAAAAAGAACAAGCAACATGGGAGAGAAAATCTAAATGGTTAAGTATCAAAGCTGTATTTGGACATCCGTTCAGTTGGAGATGGTTCTCTCCCTTTGATCAACCAAAGTTTGTATATCCACATTCTTACATGTATTCAGTTTGATAGTATATTGTAATATACTACTGTTTCAACCGTCCTAAATTTTAAACAGATTTCTTCAATTATGAACAAACTACTTAATTATGGTTATAATAAAATTGCCTATGTGTTTGATATTACCTCCGGTTAAATAAAATCCATTGTACAATAAAATATCGCAATGAATAAAAAAATTATCTCTTGAAAAATGGCCCCCTCACAAACTTTGACATCGAGAAATACAAAAATGGAAACTAATTATGTCACTCATCGGAATAGATCATTTCATACAAGGTGTTGGCAGCAAGGCGTGTCTATTGAAATGGTGTGTGACTCTTTTACGACAATTCAAATTTTTTGTATGAATAAGCTATTACTCTCAGCCCCAGTAATGAGTTTGGGCATTTACACACATAAATATGCCTGTAGTCCATTATTTTTTCTGTCTTGTTTAATTATTTGATTAGTGGTGGGGTGGTTTTCTTTTGAAGACATTTGCAGATCAAAAAGAACGACATTGGTTTTACAGACCTTGAATTTCACCCTTGAATATCTTTAATAGTTCTTGATGAACAGTAAATGCTGATGTGTTTTTATACACCCACATTTTCATGTTTGTGGACACTCTACAGGTCTCAATTTTTATCCAATTTTAACGAAACTTAAAATATAGGTCTATCTCCCAAAGATCTAGGTTCCTTTCGATATTGGCATGTATCGGACCATAATTTCATGGTTTATGGCCCCTGATTGTACGAAAAATGTCGTTTTTAGCTTGTGGACACTCTAGAGGTCGCAATTTTCATCTGATTTTGATGAGACTTGAAATGCATGTTTATAACCCAAAGATCTTGGTTCCTTTCGATATTCACACATATCGGATCGTAACTTCCTGAATTATGGCCCTTGATGGTACGAAAAATCACGTTTTTAGCTGGTGGTCCCTCTAGAGGTCACAATTATTATTCAATTTAAAAAAAAGTTCAAATATATCACCATTACACCATAATGGCTGTCCTTCGTACGCAAATAGTGTAAACATATGGTGTATCAAGGTTGTGGAACCCTCTAGAGGTCACAATTTTGAGCTGATTTTGATGAAACTTTGAAAAACTTGTTTATAGCCTAATGATCTTGGTTCCTTTCGATATTTGCGCATATCAGATCATAACTTTCTGAATTGTGGCCGTTTGAATATATCACCGTTACACCCTAATGAATGATGAGACCAAAACTGCTGGACAAAATGGCCGCCGCTTGTACACAAATAGTGTAAAAAACTGTCCAATCACGATTTGGAGCAATCTAAACACTCCTCTTGCAGTGTCACGGTCAATTCTTGCAGTGTTGTCCATTGATGTTGACGAACACGTCTCCCGATCAATTTAAACGTAACACACTAAAGCAAAGATACGCTAAACAGTAAATCTTATGCAAGAACCGATAGGAAAGCAAACATGGATAGATAAACCAGCACTCGGCAGTTTTCATCAACCCTTCCTTGAAGTGTCAAATTTGACAATGAACCCCTCCCACATGTATGGCGCTATTGCGTGTCGCATGTGCGGTTCTGTTGGGGCGATAAGTTCTTCATCTGTGAACATACTCTCAAAGCATTTCAAATGTCCATGACTATTTATCATATGAAGAGTATATAAAAATATTTAGAGTTAAAGGGTGATGATGATCATGTGATAAGTTGTATAAGCATTATTATATTTACAAGCATCTATATAATCAGTTATATTATTCAATATGAATAAAATTTAGTAGTCTGACAATTAATTGCTGTCTGTCAATATTTTTCGTTTCCAAAACTCAAACGATCGAAAGAATCACGCTTTGTTTTTACTGTAACACATGCGATTGTCAAAATATGTCACCCTTTAACATCATATGCAATGTTTTGATAACTATGTCGAAAATACAAGCAAAAACATTTGACTTTTCAAGAGAGAACTTTTTTATTCCTTGGAATATTTAATTGTAAAATGTATTTGATTTAACCGGAGGTGCTTTCAAACACACAGGTAAGTTTATAAAAGCCATAATTAGAATGTTAACAAGAAAAAAATCTGTTTAAAATTTAGGATTGTTAAGACAATAGCTCTTATAGATACTGCTGTAATAATTCCACAAAATAAAAACAAGATTATTAATATAAGATGCAAATATTTATGTAAACAAGTTGTATTTTGATAATTTAATAACATAATATTTCTAGTATATTGTACATAATGTTATTTGTAAATAATGTTGTTTGTTATTGTTGTGATGATGTCTATGTGATATATTATCAAATGTATAATTTAAGAAATATAATTAAATATAGATAGAGATATACAAAACAAGAAGATATAGATGCTAGTAATTCAGTTATTATTTGATTGTAATTTCCTATTTTATATATTAGGAAAATAATAGCCTTATATGTTTATGCATGAAAATTTATTCATAAGTTCAACAAAGAATTATTAAATTGTTTTTATTAAATTTATTTTTCTATAAGCATTCTGTAACTTGTTTAATTCATTAACTTAAGATTTTGTTATGGTTATGTAGTAAATCGTAGAGAAATAGGATTAAAGTACAGAATTCTGGGGGTTATTTCTAGGTTAATATATAGTATGGTACTTTTAATTTTTTTCTAAATGATGCATATCCAATTATCAATCAAAATTATTCCAAAAATTAAAAAATATGTTTGTCCAAAATATATTCATCAAAACTATAAAGAATGACTAAACCTCTGATCTAGATAAATGCTGGATATTGCCACTGCAGTCTCAATACGAGACATATTGCGATTCAGGAACTACAATACGATTCATATCACGGTTCATAATCAGGTCAATATTTACCAAGAAAACTACAGAATAAATGAATAATTGATATTTTTAGTCCTGACGATGTCACTATTCTGGATCAAAAATTATATTGTTGATTTCATTGAATGTTGAAAATGTCTAGATTAAACCATTGTTGTAATTGATTGTGTTTCTATATCGACATGCTAAGCCAAAGCAAAATTAAAATTTGTAATCAAATGACGTTCAGTTTAAAGATGCATTATTCAAGAGCTAAATCTGCCTATTGCAGGTCTTTCTTTAGGCCTTAAATGTTACTATCATAACAACGGTAGCAATGACAATCAATAGTCTGCTCTTCTCCAAACAGCCCTAACTAGCTTAGAATGAAGTAATTTGACTGAAATTTTCAAGATATTCCCTTTTCATTGTCTAGTTTTTAACTATTATAACCAGAACTGTCAGCTCTTTATCTGAATCTTACATAATGCATCTTTAATGTTTCAAAATAAAAATTTAACTGTATAGAGTTTGTTTAGTCTATAATTATGACCTAAATGAGGTTTAGCACAATTTGGAGTTTATGTCTATCACTGTCCCACCATCGTATCTTAAATTGTCTAATCTGGATTGATGTATTTATTTTTATATTTCTTCTTTACTATTAAGTTCTTCATGGTATAAAGATATCAGATTGGGATTTTTTAGTTTATTATTTTCATTTGTTTCTTAATAAAAATAAATCAAAGGTATCAATGAACTAAATATTGAATAATTTACATTCCATCTATTATTGAAATTACTGTTGTAGTAGATTGTTGGAGTTTATTATATATCAGGATTAATTATAATACAGGCAATATTGTTTGCTGTTTTATTATGTAGTGATTAAATTTTATTCAAGCTAGGTAAATTCTACATTGTGCATTGTAATTGTTAATGGTCAATAGTGTGCCATGAATTTATTGCAAACTGTCAGCAATCTTTCAGTGGTGTGTCATTAAAATTGTTGCCAGTTGGTTCAAAATTCAAGAAACATTTTAAATTTGATGTATAATAATATCATGATTTACTGTACTTGTTCCAGGCAAATATTCCGTCCCTTTGTTTGGTCTCTTGTATAATAATGTGGTCATAAATTTATGTCCCATAGATGTACGGTTTACTGTCTGTTTGTTATAAATATAGCTAATATTATATCAGATGCTCATAATATCCAACTCACAAGTAGCTTGAATTGCTGTTAGTCTGTGTATAGAGATGACATGGTTTAAATTTAGTCCTTTTTCTTCCATTGAAATAGTAATGAATAAATAAATTAAGACCAACTAGAGTGGAAAATCATTTATGCAGTTGTCATAAATTTACTTAGTTTGGGTTACATATTTTTTAATGACCATCAGAAATATTTAACAGTAAAAAATAAAATTTAAGGATTTAATCCTGAAATTATTTTTATGCTGGAATAAAATATTTTCTTAGGTTGGGATATGTCATAATTATTTATTGTATCTTTTCCATTGCCAATTAATTTTGGCCAAGTGGAATCTGGCAATTCCACCTATTGATTTCTTAGTCCCATATCCATCTTTGCTCCCACAGCTAAAGACCCAGAGCACAAGCCAATTATTGTTAATGTAATTTGCTTTAGAATTATTTAGCCATTGCTAAAAGAAATATAAGTTGTGTTAATTATAATTTATGTAAAATTCTAGGTTGTTATTGAATTAGATGTCTCTATATATAACTAATATTCATTATGAAGATCTGACTTCATGATCATTGCCTATAAAAGTATATCATTAACAAGCCTTCTCATATTGGTGATAAATACTTATGATGTGAAAAATCTTGTAGATACTATTATAGTATAATAAAAATATCAAATAGCTTACATCAGTAGTTTCTATGTGTTTACAAACTGTCATGATTTTAAAGGCTGCACCCATAATGCATTTGGGCAATTATTTGTTTACCCATTGCTTCCTCCTAAAAGAGTCAGATTAAGATTTTATAGTTCCCCAGAAAGACCTATGTCGGGCATGTGTGGCTTTTTCCCTAGTCAGAAAGGTGGTCCGAGGTGTGTGTTTAGATCACAACAGCCCGTGTTGTGTTGCTATGTCAGGTTTGCTTGGGTTATAATGAGTTGGTCCGTCAAACTAAAATCCACCCATCTTGCTACATGTAATTCCCTTAACTATGGATCTGCCAAAGGGACAATGCCTGCTTATATTATTATCCCCCCGCCCCCATACATTGATTTGGTCGTTTATCCGGGGCACACAAAACATCAAAAACAGTTTGCTGGAACATTTAATGGCAATTCCACTGCATAATTTGTCAACCATTCTAGTATTGCTGCAATTCACCCACTTCTATCAAATTAATTTCATCACAATCATCTTGCATATCATAAAAATCTTTGGATTTTAAAAATGTGAATCCAGAAAGCCCATGAATTAATAAAGTAATAAGCATTTTGTAAAACTTCAAAAATCAAAAAAACAAAACAAAACGGCCCTGTCTCAAGATAGTTATTTTAAAAATTATCCTATTATAAGTCAAGTCTTTCATTAAATAATTTTGTTATCATAAAATGTTTAATTCTTACATTAAACACCATAGGCTGATTAATTTATATGCAGTTAACATGATATGAATGGTTCGCTTCAAAAATCACATCTCTTGTTCAAGCATGTGTTTTATTTATTTTTAGAGTTATATAATATATGAATTAAGCCAGACCTGATACATAGTGGGGGTTTTATGTAAATATCAGCTGGTAACCGCCCCCCCCCCCCCAATACTGCACAAGACCCTACTGAAATAAACATGTAGTCTCAAAATAACCTAGTTTATGTTGAGTGGATGTTACATATACTTGGACAACTGTAGAGCAAGAAGAATCCGATCACTTAAAAGATATATTTGAAGGTTTTAAAGGTTTCATAATTAGTCGAAAGAGTGACAATGTCTCCCAAGCTGGGTTTTCTCGTGGGGGATGTTCTATTTATATTAAATCCAAACTATGCGATAGTGTCCAAATTATTGATAAAAAAAGATGGTGATACCATTTGGCTGAAACTGTGTAAAACCGACTTAAATCTGAAATCAGATATCTTTATTGCCGCGGTATATATCCCACCACAAAACTCCCCAATATGGAACAAAAGACAGTATGATCCTTTTGACGAATTGGAGAATGACATATTACGTTTCAAAAGCCAAGGTAAAATTATTTTAGGGGGTGATTTCAATTCCAGAACTCATGTTTTAAGTGATGTTTATTTTCCTGATTCTGATACTTGTAGCATAACTAAGCCATATCCACAGTTGCTTAATGACATACCTGATAATGAATTTTTAAAAGTTAGGAACAACCAAGACCCTAAAATCAATACCTGGGGTAGAGAGCTTATTCAGATTTGTAACAACACAGATATCTGTATTCTTAATAGCAGGTGTATTGGGGATATACTTGGTTCGTACACTTGCATAAACTACAATGGTCAGAGTACTGTGGACTACATTCTTACCAGCCTCTCTCTATTTGATGATGTCCAATTATTTAAGGTGTCTCCGTTAAACTACATGTCTGACCACTGCTTAATTGAGTGCAATATTGTTGGTACATGTACTCCATATCATAATACATGTAAGATCCCCCAGAGTCCTAAACCGTCCTTATCCCAACCTGACCCTATCTCTTATAAAACGGGTAGTACTACTAGAAATAAAATTAAAGTAAGGAAATTTATTTGGAAACCAGACTCGGATATTTCTTTTCTAAAAGAACTACAAAAACTCTCAACAAAAGCTAAGCTGAATAATTTTCTAATGACCCCTTATACGAGTAATCAAAATAGTATCCAAGAAGCGACTACAGACTTATCCAATATCTTAATAGATAATACTAGAGCCTGTGTTAGATTTGTGGTGGTCAAGTAAGGAAAAAGAAACATAAATGGTTTGATAAGGACTGTCAGAAGTTAAAAAGAGAAATGATAGAAGCCCAGCATAAATTTAATAATAATGTACATAATAGGCATTTCAGGGAAATTTATTTTAACAGAAAGAAATTATACAAAAATGTTACTAAATACAAAAAACGTCAAGAAAAAAATGTTATCCTCAAAAAACTCGCTGAACTTGAATCTAATAATCCAAGGGAATATTGGGATCTTGTGAACTCTCTTATTCAAAATAAGCAAACAGAAGATAGTAATATTAAACTGGATGACTGGCAAAATCATTTCACAAGTCTTTTTCAAAACAACTCCCCAACCACTAATGATGATAAAACGGAAACCTTAATTAAAACTTTGCTAGATTCTAATGCAGAAAATACATCCCTAAACAACCCAGTCTCTGCCGATGAAGTGAGAACAGCCTTTTCGAGCCTTAAAAGAAACAAATCTGGTGGGCCTGACCTCATACTAAATGAAATGCTACTCATGTCACAGGAAATCATGTTAGATCACTACTTGAAATTATTTAATCTAATTCTTTCAACGGGGATCTTGCCCCAATCTTGGAAAAATTCCTTTATTGTTCCCATTCATAAAAAAGGAGATAAGAATGACCCCAACAATTATAGAGGGATAGCTCTAGCTAGCTGTCTAAGCAAATGCTTTTTGTCAATCATAAATCAGAGACTTACAAACTTCCTTGAGGATAATAATGTCATAGATGATGCACAGTGCGGATTTCGTAAAAATCATAGAACTGTTGATATCGTCTTTATTTTAAAAACCTTGATTAATAAATGTAAGAAGGAAAAAACTGATTTGTTCTTATGCTTCGTCGATTTCTCTAAAGCCTTTGATTCAGTTTGGAGAAAGGGCTTGTTGCTAAAATTACTTCAGCATAATATCAATGGGAAAGTTTTCAGTCTAATTAGATCTCTGTATAACTATACTTCTTATACTGTGAAAACCTTAGATGGTCTGTCAAAAAATATAGAATCGTCCTTGGGTGTGAAACAAGGATGTGTCCTTAGCCCGACTTTATTCAATATATATCTAAACGACCTGCAAACTTGTTTAAATACATTTAATTTAAATTTTGACAGCCCAGATCTTGACTCGCATGAAATATCTCATATTCTTTTTGCAGATGATCTTGTTCTGTTATCAACATCATCTGTCGGTCTTCAAAATTGTCTTGTATGTCTCAACTCTTTTTGCACTGATTGGAAACTTAATATTAACTCTGCAAAAACGAAAGTGATGCTTTTTAATAACAATAAGATAAGTCTGAAAAACAAATCCCAATTGAAATTCTTTTTTAACAATCAACTGCTCCAAACTACTGATGAATATCTATATTTGGGAGTCTATATAACGAATAACGCATCCTTCAAAAGTGCGATAAATGAATTAAGTAAAAAGGCTAGGAGGTCATGGTTTGGTATCCGTCAGAAAGTGTGCACCGATGATCACCTGCCAACCGAAGTACTCATAAGACTGTATGAAGCAGTAGTGAAACAAATAGCTCTGTATGCCTGTGATGTATGGGGGTCGCAAATAGTACATAGCAGAAATGTGAATTTACACAAATGGAACTATGTGGAGCATAATAAAATCATAATAAAAATTTGCAAATCCATTTTACTCCAACCCAAAAAATCATCAAACATAGGATCATTGGCTGAACTAGGTATCTTCCCAATTCAAATTGATATTTACCAACGAATGTTGCTATTTTATAAAAGATTAAATACACCCGACATAAAACGTACAAATCCTTTACTATCCGCCGCATATGTGGAAGATGTAGAAATAGGCAAATCAAATCCCAAATTATCATGGTCAGCAGCAATATCCTCCCTCATGGACCAGTTCAACTTATCTCCCTTGCAACTTTCAAAATCTAACATTCAAACGGCCATAAGGTCCCAATTCAATACTATTTATAAAACCGAATATATTTCTGGCAATTCAAAACTTAGAACTTACGGCACTTTAAAACCTACTATAGACTATCCAGCTAATTATTTGCTTCATGTACACAATAAAAACTTCAAGTCTGCTATGACCGCACTACGATTGAGTTCCCATAAACTAGAAATAGAGAGGGGCCGGTACAAGAACGTCCCCCCTGATATGAGACTATGTGCACTCTGTTCCCTCTCTAAAGCAGAAACCGAATTTCACTTCTTAATTGAATGTCCACACTATCAATCTCTTAGGCTAAATATTCTTTCTGCTACATTCAGTAACAACAATTTGGCCATAACGTTTGAAAATCTATTTGACCCTCCCCCTTCAGTTTCTGTGAGTGTATGCCATTATATATATAAAGCATTTCAACGTAGAAATCAAGCCTCGACCTAATAAGGTATTACAAGGCAAAACTTCACATTTTAATTTTTTATCCTTTTGACATCTATACATTTTTGAAGTAATGTTTCTGATAGATATTTTCACTTTTAACATGAACCTATGTATTTTATGTTTAGTATTCTTATAAATATATATATGTATATTGCTATTTATTTTTTGTCATGTTACTTATGTCATGTATATGAATTGTATGCGGCCTGAAATGGGTGTTATGATACAATAAAATCTTATCTTATCTTATCTTATCTTATCTTATACCCCTCCAAGACACTGGAATGTGTCATTTCATTGTTCACTCGTTCAACAATGCCCCCATAGCAAACACAAACAGAATAAACCACAACAAAGCAACTTTTCAATCAAATTATTTTTAAATGATGCATGGAGTTGAGATGACCAAAAGCGTGGATGTAAATTTGCCAGGGCAGCTGCTTTTCGCATTGATGTGTTGGTTATTACACAAATTGTTTTGCTACTGGCTAAATTTTTAATAGATTTCTATGAAAAGTATCCAAGTAAGATTCATTAGCCTATACTGATATATTTATTGATTATACAGCGACCAGCCCTGTAAAAAAAACAATATACAAAATTTCATATATTATGTTCATAAAAAATAACTCTTATATACATGTACATATCATTTTCTTATTTTATATTTCAGACGATAATCGTGGGGTCCAGATAAAACCCCACATGCGTTCCGTATTAGTCGTCTTAAATAATACCCTTTTATCTAATCTGGAATTTCAAAGAATTGGCTCTTTAAAACATTGAGAATTAAAAATACTGTATTAATTATCCATGGATGGTTCGATATTATCTGATATAGGTCAATGCTACACAGCTGTACTCTGCCGGCTGGCATTTACATGCCGGGAAATATTGGCACCATGCTGTTCTCTGCTCATCAAATCTATATACCCCCGAACATAGAGCGCCATCACACATAGTGTGAATGCACACGTTCTTGTATGATCTTCAGAGAGAACCAAAGGAACTTGAAGCGTGCGTGTTCGGCTTTCATGGACATGTGAAGAAAAATGAGTGTTTCATAAATAAGTGAATATACGAATGATTTTTAGAAGTATAGGAGTTAATGAAAGATATCCATAAAGGTAATATAATGGCGTATATATTCGTAGAAGAGTTTTGAAGGTTGTTACTTTCAAGTAACATGGGTTCTCCTTCAAGTTTAACTTTTAAGCTTACGGTGCCTGAAAATGCAATAAGCAGAGAACACCAATATTACTGCCAAAAAGTTTATTCACATAATTGTTAATGACGTTTTTTTTCCAGTAAGATTTCTACATGAAAGTAGGTTAATTGCGTTTGGTTATGTAGGTTATATAGTAAGTATATAATATAATAAGATTGACACTAAACATGGTTTATGTATATACGAGGGTAAAAGTATCAGGTTACTTTCTCTGTTGATGTATAACACTCGTCTGCTTTGTCTGGCATAAATATAACAGTTTCTTCAGATACATTATTGACAAGGGAACTATACATGTGTATATTAACTCTGTTATCAGAATGATTACCTCTGCGAATGTATAATTATATTTTAGTTCCTCGAGATATATATTTAAGAGCCAAACTTCACTGATTTAGGTACAAAGTGATGAATTTGGGTTGTGTCTTCAGATACATTATTGACAAGGGAACTATACATATTTGCATTAACTCCGTTATCCGAATAATAACCTCTGCGAATATATTATTTTTTAATTATCTCGATTTAATTTAGGCCAAAATCAAGTGATTGATTGGTTTGGTCTAGGAGCTTGGACCAAGGCACCGAATTGAATTAACTCGACACTTTTACTTTTTACCCAAATTAAAGAGATCCAGTGATTTTTTCCCAAACTTTAAGCCTAACTAATATTAATTGTATGGCATATTCGCTTTTTCCTCCCTTTATTTTTAGCTGATAATGAATTCATTATAATTATGTACTTGATCTGTTACCAAATAAACTAAAACAAAAGATATCCCTCCTTACATCTTCGGCGAAATGTTAATTTGCATTAAGTGTTAATGTTAAAAGCACTGAAAACATGTTATGTTGATAGCAGCATATGTTAAAATACGTTTATCTCACACACTCTGATAAGATTTGTATAGTTTCAATATTCCATTAAGATAAAATGTTTATTTAGAAAGTTAAATAAGAAAGTCAATTTTGACACGGCGCGTAAATTACGTTTTTGTCTTAAAACTTACTTTTTTATCTTAAAAATAAATAAATAAGAGATGCAGAAAAGGAACGAATGAATTAATTAATTAATCAGCGAATGAATGAATGAATGACAGATGTTGTAAGTTGATATGATTACCAGCTGATATTTACATAGAACCCCCACTATGTATCAGGTCTGGCTTAATTCATATATTATATAACTCTAAAAATAAATAAAACACATGCTTGAACAAAAGAGAAGATGAGATTTTTTAAGCGAACCATTCATATCATGTTAACTGCATATACATTAATCAGCCTATCGTGTTTAATGTAAGAATTAAACACTTTATGACAACAAAATTATTTAATGAAAGACTTGACTTATAATAGGATAATTTTTAAAATAACTATCTTGAGACAGGGCCGTTTTGTTTTGTTTTTTGGATTTTTGAAGTTTTATAAAATGCTTATTACTTTATTAATTCATGGGCTTTCTGGATTCACATTTTTAAAATCCAAATATTTTTATGATATGCAAGATGATTGTGATGAAATTAATTTGATAGAAGCGGGTGAATTGCAGCAATACTAGAATGGTTGACAAATTATATGTTCCAGCAAACTGTTGTTGGTGTTTTGTGTGCCCCGGATAAACGACCAAATCAATGTAAGGGGGCGGGGGGATAATAATATAAGCAGGCATTGTCCCTTTGGCAGATCCATAGTTTAGGGAATTACATGTAGCAAGATGGGTGGATTTTAGTTTGACGGACCGACTCGTTATAACCCAGCCTTATGCCAAATCGGGATACGCAACAGTAAGAAACTCTTCAATTTCAACCTACATCAACCAAAAACTTAGTTCCGAAAAAGGTCAGTGTTGAATTTCAGGGTGCGGAAACGTTTTTATGTGCCTGTATTATCGTCAATGATTCGGGTAGTCATAAGGGAGAATCCAATTGAAATTCACTCTTTGAATTATTGCCTCTGTCACAAAAACCTTGTAATCACTATACGGGTTTTTTAAGATTTTGTTTTAGCTACAAGGAGAAATTTTACTAAATTCAAACTCACACCTTTTTTTATTTGAGGATTGTTATCACTGGCATAGTAACAGTTTAAATATTCCGCGAGTCATGATTGTTTTGACAGTTCGGCTATAGTCTAATGGAAATTAAAAGTTGTGCCCACACACACTTTTGTAGGAACAATATGAAGGCAAAGTTTTAGTTCCAAGCGTTCTTACTATTTTCTTCTTTGTAGATTTGAAAAACGATGGGAGACCAAGTACAGGATGCACTTCTCTCTGGGACCGAGTTGAAAGAGTTGGAGGGTGAAGCTGAAGATCATTTCAATAATAAAGAGTTTGAGAAAGCTGTCCAGAAATATGGTAGTATTTTAGCTGGAAGGGGCTCAGAAAATGTCACTACACTGCTAAAAAGAGCAGAATGCTACATGAATCTTAAACTGTATCAAAATGCGCATTCCGATGCAAAGCATGCGTTGAGTATGGAACCAAAAAACCTTGACGTCATAATAATGTGCGGCCAAGCTTGCATTGAGCTTCTCCTTTTTGAAGAAGCTTTAAATTACTTTCAAGATGGCTTAAAAATAGACGCTAAAAACAAGACCATAACTACAAGCTTGAAAACACTTCACCAGAAAATTGTAAAAGATTTTACTATCAAGGGCAGGGTAGAAGAACAAACCTACAACGCTCTCAAATTCTGTTCTCAAGATCCTTACCCCGGCGATAGTGATATACTGAATCAGGAGTACGAAATATTGTCCAGTAAATATCACATACCCGGAGAGGAAAAAATCTTGGCTTACAACCAGCAAGAAGCGGCATGGCATGCTACACAGGCATTTCGTATACGAGGAAAGAGTTTGTCACAAGCTATCGCAGAATGTTCCATAGCTGTCAGTAAAGACCCCACCAACATTGTATATCGACAGCTTAGAGGAGATATGTGGTTAGAAAAAGACGAACCGTTGAAAGCTCTTTCTGACTTCTGGGTGATACCGAAAGGTCAAAGAGGTTATGATGTGTGGAAAGTTGGAGGTATGTCAAAGCAAAGTCGTCTCTTACCATGCATGTTTTTTACCGTGATATAATATAATGATACTAATCTAGACAAATTGCCCAAGAATTGAAATGAGCAGTGTAATTCCATCATTTTACTATCTTTTGCTTATGAAAAGTCCAATTTTCTTTAAAAAAAAAAAAAAAATAATCAATCATTGTTTGATTGGAAATTGAACTAACCTAATTTCTTTATTTTAGGTACTATACTGCGAACCATTGACTTGCCTATCTCTGCTGAATTCTGGTTCCGCAAAGCAACAAAATTAAGTCCACCAAACGACGAAGAAGCTGCCACCCTGTTTCAACAAGTACGAGTTGAACGTTTGTACGGTCCACTGACAACCGACTTCCCAGTAAAAGTTGAGTTTCGACAGTTTGGACGAGGGTTGTATGCTAAAGAAGATATCAAAGAAGGAGATCTGGCGTTCGTGGATAGTCCTGTTGTTAAAGCTCAGGTCATTCGTTCAAATCATGAAATCACAGCATGCAACCATTGTGCTAGATCTCTTTTAACGGCAGCTGAATATTTTGGGGATATGTTAAAGGACATGAAATCTGATGAACGAGAGTTAGTTGATCGCTATTGGCCGAACGTAACTCCCATATACTGTGAGGACTGTAAGAAAGTGAAGTATTGTAGTGATGATTGTCGATTGGAAGCTTATGACTTGTATCATCAAATTATCTGTCCTAAAAAGAACCCAGCCTCAATCGAAATATACGATCTCATAGATAACGATGGTTGGGGTTGCAGAGCAGATGGAAGTCGAGGAGAAATCTGGGCTGGCCATTACAGTATATTGATTCTATCAAACATCTGGGCCAGCATCATCGTAGAGGCCAAGCGTCTGATGTTCAAAGATGGACTTTCCACACCCACCACTGAACACTGGGCACGGGCTAAAGCCCCGTATAGAAGGTAGGGCGTTTTGAGTTTGTTTTGGGTGTGGGATTTGTGGTGTCTCGTGAAAGTTTGTTCTGAATTTTATATGCATATTTATTATATGTGATGATTTATTGATAGCACACACTTGATGTTGTCATCAAATTTTTTTAAACGTATGACTATATTTCTTGTCTTTTTATTGAGTGGTGATTTGGGGCGTATTGATTCTGAAGCAAAAGTAGGCTCTGTGTCGAGTAATGTAAAAGTAATCAATTCCATAAGGGTTTCAGATTTGAAAATACCGCTAATGGAACTGGTTACGTGGGTGTGGTGAAAATGTGTGTTATTTCTGTCTGAAAACATGGGTTCGCTCGCATGCCCTTTCATGCTTCGGGTGTTATTATTGTCTTAAAATCTATGTATTTCAACCAATATTGACTTTAAACCCGGAGAAGACAAAATATATAGCCATCTATTCAGGCAGTATGTTCTACACTTGCAACTCACCACAAAATCTCCGTGAGAATGGGGTTCGTTAAAAAACAAAAGTTACAAATGCACTTGATGTCATTTCAGGTTTATAGCCTATGGGACTACTTCTGTCACAAAGCGCATGCCGGATATGCTTCCGGTTTTCCAAAGAGTGTTTAAGCAATGTGGCGATGGCGTCAGCTTTGATGTCACAGCGGAAGAATTTAATGGCCGCTACTACCAAGCCACCTGCAACTTACAGGAATTTTCAGCACGCACTACTCCATATCATATTTTCATGACAAACCTTTCCATGGATGAAAGCATGAGGGGTTTAAAGATGGTTAAATATTTGGAAAAAGCTTCACCGTACGCAAGTTTTTGTGGGATGTTTCCCTTGCATGCTTGCCTCAATCATTCATGCTGTAATAATGTCGAAATCAGAGACGGCGATTGCGGCGACAGACCGGGCGTTCATGTTGTAGCCAAAAAGTTCATCAAAGCTGGAGAAGAACTCTTCACAACTTACATAGACTCTAAGCTGAGACGTAACCTCAGACGCGCGTGGCTTTATAAGTCATTCAATTTCTGGTGCTTGTGTCCACGATGTAAATTTGAAGGTGATGACAGCAACGTGTGTACAAACTGTAATGTTGAAGCTGAAGAAGACAAACAGTTTCCTGGGTGTAGTAAATGTAAAAGGGCTTGGTACTGTTCTGTTAAATGCCAGAAAGATTCCTGGAAGCGTGGTCATAAAGCTATTTGCAACTATGGGCATTCGGACGTTGCAGGAAGTATCTTGCCAGTACCATGGGTAGACAACAAATACATTTAAATCTTTACCGTTTATATTGAAAAACTTTATTTTATAGAAGAACAATCACAGGGGTTGGCCGTGTTATTTTTTTTTAATGTGTGTATATTTTAATGTGCATCTAGGAAGTAGACTTCCAAGCTTATCATGTGTTGAGGGGTCTTTCCCAAGAGGCCTTTTAAGAAAGGTAGATTTTATCATAAAAGGTCAAATATATGCGTCACCAGAAACGTCTCAACTCTGCTCCAAAATACTTTTCATATACCGAAAAACATCGTCGGACTACAAACTATTTCCTTATTTCTAATTTTTTAAGCCCATATAGTTTTGATACCGACCTTCATGCTGCAGTATCGAATCTGCGACAGTTCTTTGATTTGCTTTAATAAAGTAAAGTATTTATGGCAATTACTTACAATTATTCTTAACAAGCAGGATTTATGTACTCGTGGTTGAAATTTGAATTCCTTCACCTATTTCTTGGTTTAAATGGCCCCGTATGGTGATTAAATTGTTATTTAAAGCTCGGCGGAAAACGACGAATATTATATCATATGGTATCTGATTATTAACATTATCAACAGAGGGTAGGTATCAGGATGTGAGAGCAGCATTTGAAGGTTTTCCCAGAATGATATTCCCTCTTAATGTTGAGTTTTCTACACTTTATCCCTAGACTACCTCCCAGTGTAATTTTGCTCATATAGTCTATTTATACAGTTTTACCACTTCTTATTTATATAGAAACATACATGTATTTATTATCGTTGTTAATATTTAATATTTTACCAGAAATTTTAAAACATAACATTGTGTTTGGTATAGTCAGAACGATTTAATTATTATGGTACGATTGTTATTTCTCTTTGATACGAAATGTAAAAAAACAAGGTTTGTTCTTTTCATGTGTGTGGATTTTGTCCAGAATCGTTAAAAGGCTAGAGAATGGTACACAAGGCGCATGGATAATGTACGTGTGTACGATTACACATGTCAAAGCGCAATATAAAGCTTGTGAAAGGTTAATATTAACGATTCTCTGTGACAATTTCCGTTTTATAGCTCAATATAATAGAATACATAGGTTATGTGATACCCGTCATACCTGCCTCACAATTCTAGTTTGTATACCTTTTTCAAAAAAACAACACAGCGAATATCCATAATCATCTTGTTTTATTGATCTTGTTGTTTTTAAATATTACATAGATCTAGAGTTATTTTTAAATGATTATTTAATAATATAATTCTAAATTTATTGTATTGTGTTTATGAAAACTGTATATAGGCCTTGGTTAATGAGGTAGATTTTATCGATCGCGTGGATTATGAGTTGTTTTATGATTTTATATGTTCAGAGTGAAATGTAGTTGTATATTTTACAAAATAAACAACCGAAACCATGACACTTTTGAAAGTAAAGTAGTAAGCCATATAATATACACATAACAGTAGGCATAATACTAATAAGTAAATTGGAGAAAATATAGAATTAAATAACAAAATATCAAATATAATTATAGCAAGTGAAAGGTTATGAATTTCTGAAATGAAATGGGGTTTAACGTCTTACTTTTCTACTACCAACTGTAAGGTTTATGCAATGAAAAAAAACCAGTTAGTGAAAAGAACCGAAGCGACGGTTAACCCAGTTGTTAAAAGATATGTGTCGTCAGTATAGGGGTATTGATATGGTATCTCCGAGTCCCATCCATAATGAACCGAGACAAACCGGGAATCGTTACAAAGACCGGGCGATAAATCTGTTAACGATGCATTATGTAAGATTAGATTTAGATAAAGAGTTGACAGTTCTCGCTATAATAGTTTAAAAATAGATAATGAAAAGGGAATATATTGAAAGTTTGAGTCAAATTACTTTATTCTGAGCGAAGTTATGAATGATTGCTACCATTGTTACGATAATAAACAAAATGTCAATAATCCATTTTCAAATTAAATTATTAAATGGCGATCTTGTTTCAATCCATTTTATATCACCACCATCCGATGGTCTCGAGAGTTGATTATGGGCTTGTCATATTAATAAATGTCTAATTAATCATTTAGATAACAGTTGAGGCCAAAAGAAAGATCTACAACTCTTACATACTGGATCTTTAAAGAGTGTATGTTTATATTTCCTGTAGTTCACCTTTATATATGAGCAGAGATTTGAAAATTACCCTGTTCGCTAGGTGTGTTGATTTAATTTCCCTCCTCCTTTAGTCTACCTCGTTTTACATTCCCCACTTTTGTGTTTTAGTACAATTTATTTAATAATTTATTACAGATCCTGTTTCCTTCATACTAATTTTGGATCATAGTATGATTCATTTTTGATGTGATCTAATAGTTTAATATACCGTATACTTACAGTAAATGTCATATGATGGCAATGTTTTATTTACATTTATGACCATACATTATCATCTATGGTTATATATTTCTATATATTAAATTATTATAAGCCTCGATCCAAAAATCTATATCACTTTATTTCCAAGTTAAAGTATAAGTCATACTAATTTATTATGTAATATGTAGTAATTGATTACCATAATTAATTTGTAGTAATTTATTATTAGCATTCCAGAAATCCTGCCTGTGTATGTGTGAGTGTGTTGTGAAACCAATATAGATACAGCATGGTATTAACTGTTGATTTATAAACACAAATTTCATATTATCCTAAATAAATCCGTTGTAGAATCTATGTGAATATGTTCTTTTATATTGTATTGTTAATCTGATTGCGCTGGCGTTGTGTTGGATGGGGGTGAGGGGGTACAACTAGTGGTCTAAAGCGCTGCTCATCGGAACTTCAGTCTGTCACCACAGCAGCCATTAGTTTAATCCCGCTAATGCAGGAATTTACGTTTATTATACCCCCATCCCTTTCTATTCGTCCACGCTGTCTCTTAAAGTAAAACTCCCCTGTCTTAAATGTAATTTACAGTGCGCATTAAAAGACTATCACTATTATGACCAGTATTACACTGTTACTTTACACCATGTTTCTAACTTTACATCTATCGTAATACACAGACTACCTCCTCCATTTGCAGTAATAAACTGTTACTTTACAGTAATACAATTTATACCTTATCTGTTACATCTACACTAATACAATGTCACCTCCACTGTGGCTTTACGGTAATTAAATTTATAGCCTGTCCTTTCCATCAACAGTAATACACTGTCACATATACTATACCTTCTACTTTACTACAGTAATAAACGGTGTCTTTACAGTAATAAAATTGTTCGTACCTCTGCAGTATTACAGTGTCACAGTCTGTCCTATATTTTAATCCAAAAAAGCCTCAAAGCTTGCAGATCCAATATTATACGCCCACATTTTCATGTGGACGTATATTGTCGTCGCCCCCGTCCGTCCGTCTGTCTGGACGAAACTTGAAATATAGGTCTATCTTCCAAAGATCTCGGTTCCTTTAGATATTGACATGTATCGGACCATAACTTCATGGATTTTGGCCCCTGATTGTACGAAAAATCACGCTTTAAGCCTGTGGACACTCTAGAGGTCACAATTTGATCGGATTTTGATGAAACTTGAAATGCATGTTTATAACCAAAAGATCTTGGTTCCTTTCGATATTCGCGCATATCGGATCGTAAATTCCTGAAGGATGGCCCCTGATTGTACGAAAAATCGCGTTTTTAGCTTTAGAGGTCACAATATTTATCCGATTTAAAAAACAGTTTAAGATGGGTGCAATTACACCCGAATGATGGTTGAGTTCGAATTTCGTGAAAGTCGGACCAAAACTGCCAGACAAAATGGCCACCCCTTGTACCCAAATTAGTGTAAAATATGGTGTGGACACTCTATAGCGGTCACAATTAATTTTCATCCAATTTTGATGAAACTTAGAATGCATGGTTATATCCCAAAGACCTGGTTGTTTTCGATATTCGCGCATATCGGACCATAACTTCCTGAATTATGACCCCTGATTGTACGACAAAAAAAGCGTTTTTAGCTTGTGCAATGGACCCTATAGAGGTCACAATTTTTATCCTATTTAAAAACTGTGTGAATATATCCCCGTTTCGGACTGAAACTGACGGACAAAATGGCCGCTCCTCGTTCGCAAATATTGTCAAAATATTGTGTACATCAGGGTTAATCTAGAAGTCACAATTATTATTCGATTTAAAAAAAAACGTTTTATTACATCACCGTTTCGTGAAAATCGGACCAAAACTGTTGGACAAAAAGGCCGCCCCTCGTACGCAAATAGTGTAAACATCTGGTATATCAAGATTGTGGACCTCCTCTAGGTCACAATTTTGATCCGATTTTGATGAAACTTGAAATGCATGTTTATAACCCAAAGATCGTGGTTCCTTTCGATATTCGCGCATATCGATCGTAACTTCCTGAATTATGGCCCTTGATTGTACGAAAATTCGCGTTTTGAGCTTGTGGTCCGTATAGAGGTCACAATTTTTATCCGATTTAAAAAAAAAACGTGTGAATATGTCACAGTTATACACTAATGATGGTTGAGCTTGAATTTCGTGAAAATCAGAAACAAAAAACACAATGGCCGCCTTTTGTACGCAAATATCAAGGTTGTGGGCCCTCTAGAGGTCACAGTTTTTATCTGTTTTGGATGAAACTTTAAATATATGTTTTTACCATAAAGATCTTGGTTCCTTTTGATAATCACACATATCCTAACGAAACTTCCTTGATTATGGCCCCTGATTGGTCGAAAAATCGCATTTTTAGCTTGTGGATTCTCTAGGGGTCACAATTTTTTTTCTGATTTTAAAAACCGTTTAGATATATCACCATTCCACCATAATGAAGGTTGAATTGGAATTTCGGGAAAATCGAAATGAAACTGATCGACAAAATGGCCGTTCTTTGTACGCAAATTGTGTATAAATATGTTATGGACCCTCTAGAGGTCACAATTTTTATCCGATTTTGATAAAACTTAAAACATATCTTTATATTCCAAAAATTTCTGTCCCTTTTGATATTTGCGTATTTCGACCATAACTATCTGGATTATGACCCCTGATTGTTAAAAAAATCGTTTTTGTTTTTAGCTTGTTCTCTATCCATCTCTTGCAAAATGTGGGCGTATCCTGCCTGGCAGCCGCTGATTTTATATACTAAGGTCTGAAAAATCACGAAAATTCAAAAAGGAGTCGCATCCCTCCATTGGTTTGTTGGGGGGGGGGGGGGATTTTAGTCAGATTGCAGCCAAATCTGTGCATGGTGCAAACCTTCTGCCAACGTAGATATTTATCAAATATAAAATGGGTCATTTTTGACAAACAGGAAGTGTTGTACGGATGGGACAAAAAATAATTTCAGATTGCCCATATCTCGGTTATTTCTCAACGGATCTTCGCCGGGTTTTCGTTTTTGGATTCTTTGGACGAATCCCATACGGGCTCTTACTGACAATTTTTCGAAATTCGGAAGTTCGCTTTCTGATTTTTCCAGAACATGAACAGTTCTCTCCATTTAAAAAAAAAAGATTAAAAATGACATATGGTGGTGTTAGCCCCAGATATTATCTTTCATTTCCAGAGACCTTGTTTCATAACATTTCAAATCGTTTGACCGCCATATTGAATTTTACAAACAAAACCTTCAAATCGACATTCAGCCGCCATTTTGATTACGATTTTCGAAAACTTTTTTTTGTTTTGAACCTACTCCAAATAAAAACAATTCTTTGGGAGCCGATTTTTGTATTTCGATTTTGTTTACTTCCGGTCTCACTTTGAAATTTTTGTCGACTTTTGACCTACTATCGGGTGACCTCGACCTTTTTATGAGGACCTTGATGTCTAATAACAACTAATATGAAAAAGTTCGGTTTTGAAGTATAACTTCTGGTTTTTGTAAGAGTTCAAAATGATAGTTTTTTCCACTTAAATAGGTTTGGGTGTTACTATACTCAATATTTCATGGTGTAACTTGATTGTTGACCTGACAAGGCGTGACCTGACACGACGTACCGAAACACATCAGTACTGCTTTTCGCAGTTCTAGTTATGTTTTTGTTTGCAAAGTAGACATGATACACGGATCCATTGCAGTCAGTTGCTGGGCTGTAATGGTCATGGTAAATACTGAGGACGTAATCTAGCTATTTAATTCAAACGGTGATATCAAAAACAAATTGTAAGGACTTTTAATGCACTGTGAAGAAATTCCTTAACTGCCTTGTTAGATTACGTCGCATAACAAGCTAACTGGTTTCCATTGAGCGTTGGGTCGATGCGTAGTATAGAAATACGAGGGCTGGCTGAAAAGTTATAAGTCTGAAAAGGGTATAGATCAACTGGGCTAAAAAAACTTTTGCCACCAATAAGTATAAATATTGAATGAATCATAGACATAAGAACTGCAACTGTAGTGTTATTATTGTCTTCATACCAGACCATCTTGTGAACCTAGGCTACCCATTGAAATCACCAGAAATGGACAAAGTTGGCTATAGGACAGTCATCAAATACCTGCAACATGCCGATTTGGTCTCCACTTTAGGAGATGGTGCCCCTTCCCTTTCCACGGTAAAGAAGTGGGCTGTCGAATTTAAGCGTTGCAGAGAGAATCTTAACGATGACCCGCGTCCTGGAAGGCCATCAACAGCAACCATTCAATAAGGCATTACCCGGGTGCATGACATGGTGATGGCTGATCGACGATTGACCACTCAAATTGCCAGTGTTGTGGGCATCTCCTCCCATCAGAGGGTTGAGTACATTATCGCCAACGAGTTTGGAATGACAAAATGTTTATGCAAGATGGGTGCCAAAGCTCTTGACTGAGGATCAGAAATGTGTCAGATTCCAGACGTCCCTTGACAATCTGCGCCGTTTTGAAGCAGATCCTGATAATGTTTTTACCAGATTTGTAACCATGGATGAGACCCGTTTCCAAAAATGAAAAAGGAACTAGCCGGTCGTCCTTTTCCCAGTAGTAGCTGTGAACAATTTTTTTTAGGGTGGCTGAAGAAAATTTCTTCCTGGCCTGCATCGAAAAGTGTGTACACCTCGAAGTGGACTATGTAGAAAAATAAATAGAAACCATTGACTTTGTACAGGTCTTTCATAGAGAGGCTTAGAACTTTTCAGCCAGCCCTTGTATGAACATTGAACATGATACAATTCTCCTGTGGTTTAATGGCTTTTATTCAATAGTGTGCTTTTAAAACTTTTCCGATTTTCTTTCTTTTTTTATTCTTATGTGTTTATTTCTGCTATTTCTGCAATTCATATCGTATTATGTTTGTTGGTGTGTGTTTTTATTTTCATATATCTATATATAATAATTGCTAAAAATCAAAGTTCAGCTTAATTCATTGTATTAATCACTAACTATTTAGTTCCCAGTTTATTAAAGTGACAGCCTTTTGAATATAAATGGAATTCAATTATTTTGTTTATCGTTTGATTGCATTTACCCATAACCGTACCGAAACCCTTGACAACGTTAGGGCAGTGCTAAACTATTTCGGTCTGTATATTCAAATTCAAGATCTGGAACATATGCGGTTGAACAGGGTGGGGTGTAGACGTCCTGTCGATTCTACTAGGGGACTTTATTTACGTCAGCTGCGATGCCCCAGTTAAAGAAAACTACTCATACTTTTCAACGAATATCACACAAGTTATTGATACTCTCCTAGACTTGTTACAAACATATGGTCAAAGGTG